GAGGGTGGGGTGGACCCGAACGGGACAACGGAGGGGGGGGTAAGAGAACCTTGACTTGGTTGTCTGGGCGCTCCTGCGTTAGACCTTCTCATGTTTAGGTTTCTTCATCCTGCCCGTTTCACAACTATGCTCCCAAGCAATTTGAGGATTTATATCACTGCAACACACACACACACACACACACACACACACACACACACACACAGGCATTAGATCAATGTCTAATACCTGTATGTCTGTGTTGTTTTAATCTTGCCGTCCTAGTCCAAGCCCTGTAGTCTGACATCTGACAGGGCAGCATGTGACTTGTCTGGTGCGATATGGGGATATGTGGAGATAACACAGGTGTGTTGGCAACACGCAGCAGATGAAAGGGAGCAGGGCTGCTCTCATATGTATGAGGGTGGTCTCTGAGTTGAGTGATCTGATGTTTACCACAAGGCTGAAGTTTCTCCAGAGGATAAGCGTCTCTTTCATGGTGTTTTCTCTGCTGTTCTCGTCCGGTGCGTGCAAGCTGGCGAGGGATGGCGATGCCTCACTGTGTTGACGTCGACCTCATCCAATTATTTAAATGTCAATGCTGACTAAGAGCAGGCCCGGCCTCCAATTAATTCGGGTTATTTAAAGTATTGATCATTAATTACTGTGATGTATTAAGAGCGTGTATAAATCCAATCCAAATTTCGGGAGCGGGATCTTTGCTTTTACTCCACGTCAAGTCCCCCCCCCCCCCCTCTCCCTCAAGTGGTTTAAGGCGTGTCATGCCTGAGAGCTTCTGGCTGCACTCTGGATAGATATGCAGCAGATAAATAACAAGGCTGCCCCCCTTCACTCTGGATCCCCTCTTTTTTTGGCAGTCCATCCACATTGGATTTTGTTTCAGGTGTAAACATGTCCGGCAAACGGCACAGCCGGGGCCCTCGGCACGCACGCATGCAGCGCGGCCACGGCGCTTTCTGTCTGACCGGCTCGGCGTGACCGCTTACCTCCCGTTTTCCGATGGCTCCAATGACACGTTGCTGCCGTCTCCCCCGCGCCAATCAGGCCAATCAGGTTCGCTCTGATGAGAAGAGGCCTCGCGGTTTGCTTCCTCTTCTCGCTCCCAGAGTGCAGAGCGGCTCTGAGAGCCCGGGTTCTCACCGTGGAACCCAACTTTTCCACATCTCACGCCTGTGCAAAGATTTCGCCAGCGAAGCTGTGGACTGCATTATTCCAGGGGTACGTCATGTCTCTCCGCTCCACATCCACCAGCTCACCTTCGGGGGAACTGTCACTCCATCACCAGTTATTTATTGAGCATTCATACTGACTCACAGTTTTTTTCTTTCTCAACACCGCCGCACCCCTCGCCCCTCCAGTCCCGAAAGAGGAGTAGTTTCAAGTAGCTGTCTTCCCCTCTCCTCTCGTACACTGCTGCAGCTTTTTTGACAGTTTTATGCCTGACACCCCATGGATGGCAACTTGGAAACTCTCTCGCCCTCTCTCCATTGGGGTGAGATAACAGCTCGGGTTGATTGGGGGTGGGAAGGGGGGAGGAGGGGTTGGGGGGTCTCTGCTGACTGAAAAAGCAAACGACCCGTCCTGAGCGCCTCGGGATGTGCTGGAGTCATCAGGATCCGTTGTGAGAGGCCGTGGAGCCCAACACGCGTCCTGCTAGCGGCAGGAATCCCTTTGTCGGGCCGTTGTTTGTGGACCTGACGGGGTAATGAAGGCCACACTGATGTATCATTTCTACCTAACATGCGCTTTCTCCCTCCCCGCGCTCTTTTGACAGAGCGCTCCGGCTTGGTATTCAAGGGCAAAAAGCTATTCTCTATTTCCTGCTCTTTCTTTCTTTCTTTCTTTACTTCCTATTCAGAGACTCTGCTCGCTAAGAAAAGTAATTTCGCTCCCTCTGTCCCTGAGAGAATAGGCACAGTGATGTTGCATTGAATTTTTCTACTGCAACATTTTTTTTCTTGGCTCTATTTCAGACCCATAACCTGCGGGTAAACATGCAATTAGAATAACAGCAGCCTGCTTTTTCCTCCACTCTCCTTCAGCCGTTAGCACACGCAATGTACAACATGGTGACTTGGCTCTCCTAATTGCCTTTGCTTTTAATTGCTGTAGAAATGCTGTTAATATTCCACCAGTTACTGAATGTACTTTCTCACCTTTTTCTCACTGTTTATTAAGTGCTTTTTCTTTGTTTATTGTCTGCTCTGACATTGCTTGTTTGTCTTAATGAGCTTATTTTTGGTGCACAATCCTCGCGTTTTTTCCTGCCTTCTACTGCTGGTGGGTATTTTAATAGATGACTTCCTACGTAATTAGCCTGATGCTAATTTGGGGATGCTAATTCCCAAATTGCCTACAAATGCAGATCCTAGTTGATGATAAGGTTATTGATCAAAAGATTGGACATAAAAACAATCAGCAGGTCCAATTTCCTAAATGGGCTCCCGTCTAGCTTGCGCCTTTTTTTAACTTTCTGATGGCTTTCTTTTTATCCTTCCCCTCTGAGGAACGAAAAGTAAATATAGGTCAGCCTTTATGTGAGCAATTTGACACGTGACACAAGCCGTGCGTATCACTTGCTCAAGTCCTCCTTTTTGTCTGCTCGTCTTTATGCGTCTAATGAAAGCCACGCAGTTATTCGCACACTTTAATTCCGATTCTATGAGTAGCTGGTGTAGACTTGTCGAGTCACGGGCCCCCCCACTCCCCCACTAATACTGTGAGAACCCCGCAGTGTCTGTCTGCACAGGGCTGATAGTGTGAGACGCCTGGCTAAACTCCACCAAGCCCAATCCCTGCTCCACAGGCCTGCCAGGGCTGGCTCGGCTCGGCCTCCACAGGCGCGCCCCTGTTTCCGGAAGGACAGCGAGGGGGGGCGGAGGCGGTTCGGGAGTCTCCCCAGCATAAAGGCAGTTAGGCCAATCCGGGCAGACACCTGTTTGCCTGGATGTGTGGACGACAGGAGAGACGGCCTCTGTCCAGACTAGTGTTGACCCGCTCCCCCTGCATGGACAGCGGGACATCAGGACCAGCCAGCGGCCGAGGCAGTCATGTGGCGTTTAGGGCCTCTGTGCCCGTCTGGGCGCGACAGTCCATCAGTTGTAGTCATCCCGCTGCTGATACAGACTGGGAAAAGCCTCTGTGGGGGCAGGTGCCTTTTTGTAGAAAGTGCCGCGGTTTGCCGTCTGATGTATATTTCAAGCCGCTGTGGTGCTGATGGGCCAGTCGGTAGACGTCGGCTCTGTCTGCTGGGTTCCGTCTCCCCCTGCTCTCCTCTGTAAAGCAGATTGTCAGCTTGGGGCATTACCATAGGCTGACCTTTCTCCGCTGCACTCCCCACTGCACAGCTTTCTGACATTCAGGGGCGCTGTGGGGGATGCAGGAAGGGGGCGGGCGGGTGGCTGTTTTCTTTTTTTTGTGTGCTTTTATAACAAATGCACTGACAGCTTATGGTGTGTGTGCGTGTGCGTGCGTGCAGCCCCGACCCCCTCCACCCTCCTTCCCACCCGCTCATTGCAGTCTCCTGCCATCATTTGATATTTAGTTTATATCCTCCCTGAACCTGCCTGTTGTCAAAGAGATGTGTGAAATCTTGGCACGGTGATGCGAGCACTGGAAGTCCTGCCTGCTCACATCAAGGCGCTGTGTACCTGAAAAAAACAAACAACAAAAAATAAACTATGGAAAAGAATAAGATATCGTGCCAATCCAAGCTAACGCACAGTGAAGCGCTGGATGGAGGGCAGGAAAGCTGCCATATGCTGGCCCAGGCTGTAAATCAGAAAGAGAGTGACCTAGCATCAACGCCACAAAACTCCCACGAATCCCCTCTGAAGACCACAGCCTCCCACCCAGCCACCCCCCTCCCTCCCTTCCTTCCCCTCTACCCTTCCTGCCGCCCAGCAGCACCCTAAGGTGCAACGCTCGTAGGTATCTGTGTAGAGCCGGCAGCTTCATTAAGCCTTTTTTTTTTTTTTTCCTCCCCTCTTGCTGGGAGGATTTAAATGAGCTGTCATCGTGACCTTTTTGAGCTCCTGCTTTTTTTAAAGGAAGTTCAGCCCCCCTGCCACCACCCCAGCACCCCTCTCGCTCCCCTTCCACCTACACTCACTCTCTCTTTCTCTCTCTCTCTCTCTCTCCCCCGCTTTGTCACTCCTTCCTCCACTTGTCTCTTACCCCTGCGGGGGGAGACACTTTTAAGCCATCACCCTGCGGCAGACAGGCACGCCAAGGTTGTTTTGTGGGTAATTGCCTCTCTCACAGCCGCTGTTTGTCTGTGCACACTCGCCGCCCTCCACTGATGCCACGCAGCGAAAGGGGAGGGCGCGGACTCTGTCGACTTAATTCGCTCCCCGACTGTTCTTCGGCGCTGATTAAGCCAGCATCTGCCCTCTTTTGAATACAGCGGTAAGCCAAGTACAGCGCGGCAAACGTTTGTTCCCCCCTCTATTGCATCAGGTTATAGCAGAAAGTGGCGGGCATCTTTCGGAGCCGGCTCAGTTGTTTAATGTCGTCAAAATAAAGGCATCTTTGAAGTCTAGAGGACTTCAGAATCAATCAGAGACTCGCTGACTTGTTAGCGCCAGGTCTCTCGAGTGTGTTTTCAGCTCACATGAGTCCTTCATTTCCTTCGGCGGTAAGGCGCAGGCAGCAGGGTGCAGCTGGCTGACTAACACGCAGGGCGAGGGGAAGGGTCCATTTAAAGCTGCATGCCCCTCGGGCGCTCTTCGCTCGTTTTACCTCAGCTGTTTGATGTTTAATTGAAGTTGTTATTGGCATCAAATGTCACCTTACCTGGTGCTCAAGGTGTGAATCGGGTTTCTAATTGAAAGGTAACCACGTCTCCGTCAGCCCTCTGCCTGCGGGGATCAACCAGAGAGTTCTATTAGTGCGGAGCCAGCCGCTGTATCGCCACGCACCATGTGCTGCCTCGCGGTTATGTCTGACTGCTGACCTCTCTCCCCCTCTCTGCCTCCCCCTTCCCCTTTCTCTCTCTGCAGTGTGAGGAGAAGTGCGTGTCCCATGTTGCATTAGTGTCTGTGTGAAATGCTGGCCTGTCTGCCACGGCCAGGTGACCTCCCCATCCAGCTTCTCCCCCACACGCAGATGAACACTGGACATCAGAAATGTAAGTATCTTACATGTACATACATACGCGCAAAGCATGAACTACCATCACCATCCCACACAAGCCGAGCTGCTGCCCAGCGCCGGATGTCCGTGCCAACCCGGGCCTGCTGTGGTTTTTTTGTGCCCCATTTCCTCCCCCGCCGCCCCTCAAGATCTGTCAGCCACGAGAGTGCGGCCCGTGTGTGTGTGTGTGTGTCTGTCTGCGCGCGTCCAATCGCCAGCGTCACGTGTAAGATTCAACCATCTCGGATGCTTTCTCGCCATCAGGAGGAGTCGATCTCTGTCAGGCTGTCAGACAGATTGCGGCTGAGTGGTTTTGCCCCGATGATCTCGTAATGAGTGAATTTAAGGAGCAATCTGCTGCTCCGGTTTAACGGCAGACTAGTCGGAGCTGGCCCAGTTCGTTTAATGTGTTATGAATTTCACAACTCTGCTGCTGACAAATCGAGACTCTACAGTGTTGAGGACCAACTGCTAACCGGCTCTTGAGATTTATCCACGACAGACACACCGATAGAAATGGGTCACAGTCAGTGACAGTTTCCTAATTATTGATCACTTTTGAAAAGCGGTCACGTCGCGTAGTCATGGGATTCTCTCAATCTTTTTACCTAAACCCAAAAGTCAATCACTCCCCGAACAACAACTGAATCCCATCCAGCTGGTCAGATTTATCTCATCTCGTCTTCGTCCTGCCTGTTTTATCTAAGAGTGACAACGCAGCGCCGGTTTGACCCATTTCTGCAGCAGCTTTTTTTTTTTTTTTTTTGTGTAAGATGCTCCAGCTCATCAAGTCTGTAATTTCAGAATCACAGTAATCAGCCAACCCCCAGGAGATCAGTGCGTGTGAGGGAGTCTGCTAAGTGCCAGCGTCTGTTGCCTCACCGAAGCAGCCTTGTGACCCCATCAGCTGCACCGTGTCTCTGCTCTCCCTTTGCGTGACACGTCGGCGCACGAAGGCGCCACTCGAGATCAATTCGTTTTCCTGCCCAACGCCGTAATCCATTTTGGTGATGGAGCGCGCTTCCCGCAGCACGCACCGTCCTAGAAGTGTAATTTCTATCAAAAATGTTTTTTTCCCTTCTCCTCGTCATTCTTTTATAACGCTTTTCCTTTTCATCCGCTCTTCAAAGTACTATTAACAGACATGGTGTTACATCAAAAGCGGTGGAGCTGCTTCTCATTTCAGGCCAAGTCATTTATTATCAAAGTGCCATAGAATTAAAAAATAAAAGAAGAATAAAACAATCTTTAGAAGCTCACGTGGGCTCCATAGCTTCCAGCCTCAGAACCCCGTATGGAGGTCTACAGTTTGTTCTTTGATTTTCCTGTTCCTGTCCAGAGTTGGGCCTCAGCCATCAGGTAACCCTCACCCCCCGTGCCGTCCCGTCCAGTGGACTCCTTGTCTCTGCAGAGCCCCGTCCTTTACCCAGCGTGGTGGAGAATTTGACAGCTCAACCCCATGGGAGGTGTGCTCGGATGCTTTTAGATAGAATCATGGACTAGTTGTCGCTTGAAATCTTGATTTTAATACTCTGACGGGTTCCCACAGAAAAAAGGCTCAGGTGGCTCATGATTAACTCTAGTTTGTGTTCCCGTTAATTTGCCCTCGAGCTCCATGCTTTTAGCTACTCTGATGCTGGCGCATAGGTTACGGACTGATGTCCCTGCCACTTTCCCCTCCCTCTGTGCGCACCGAGAGCCCCAGATGGCCGGCCTCTTCTCCCGCAGGTGAGTCACAGTCATTTAAGGTTACGAGCTTGCGGGGTCGCCGTCAGAGGGCAGAGCAGCCGCTCTACTTATCACCGGGTATTGGCTGTTTACAGAGGATGGCTCGGAAACGTAAAGGACGTCCGAGGAGCAGATTAGACGGTTGTGGGTCACAAAGAAAAGGGCTCATGCTCCGGGCCGGATGACTCGAACGCCTCAAAGTGGCCCTCGTCTTTGCCTCTCCCGGGCAGAACAAACGGCGAGCGCAGCTGGGCCACTTTGGCTCATTCTCCATCGCCACCGAGATCACAAGCCGCCATTTTTTTTCTTCCTCCCCTTTATCACGTTTTTTGTGGGGGGGGGTTTCACGTTATCAGCGTGGGAGGCTCTGTTCAAATGTCTGTTAAAAGTGATAAGGAGGTGGGTTTTATGTGGGAAGCCAAAGCGCATGTCTAATTTAATGCCGAAGCATCAGACCTAATTTCCTGCTCTTGTGTGAAAATTGCAATTTGCAACAGCGCGAGCCCCGGTCCTCCTGCTGCTTAAACCGCGTTCAATAAAAACAGTAGTTTGAATAAAAGACACCCTAATTATTGCCTGCTGACTTTGCACTAGTGTTGCAGCCAGCTAGCTGGCAGCGGGGTAATTAGCGCTCGGCCAGACTGGCCTCTTTCCCCCGTTCCCTCCTTGAGAACATGCTCCGTTGGAGATCTGAGAGACGAGATGCTCGCAGCCGCCTACAAACTTCACTCATATCCTCATTAACCCTCCCTTGATACTTTTAAGCTGTTCAACTAATCCAGGTTTCAGGTTAGGGTTGAAATGCTAATGAGCTACGCTTGGTCACTAGAACACACAATCAACAGCTGCCAGGAGCTTTAAACAGCAATATTGTATCCACTGTTTGGGGGAAACTAAACAGCATTTACCAATTTTACTACACATTTCTTTCTGCTAAACCCTGCATTCTGATTTGCTTTTTTTTATCTCAAAATTCCTGCCTAAGCTTTGTTAACAATGTATAATCCCTTTTTCAATTTAATGGATTGGTCAGTTTCCAGACATTGACATTGCTTTCTTTGCTACTTGCCTGAGTCTCACACTTGAGTATAAAACTCATTACACAAGTGCCTGTGGCAAACTACAGCCACACGCTCGCCGCAGATGTTTTTCTACATTGCTACATTTCCAACGTTGTCTAAATACCCCAGATATGAAACTATAACATTTATATTTATGTGCCGTTCATTTCAGGTGTTAAATTGCATTGTTTGTTATATTATTTTGAATCAATTATTTAGATCATAGGAACACATCCGACCCCAGAGAAGCAAAAAGTTCCTGTCTGTGGCAGTTTTTGATGAGCCTTCATTATTTACCCCGACTTCACCCTTCACCGCCCCCCCCCCTCCCTCCGTCCATGCTCCTGATAACAGTGGACACAAAGATCACGTTACACCTGGTTTGAAGAGGAATCTATTTGCCAGGAAATTATGACACAAGATGTTTTATTCATTGCGTCAGCTGACGGCTTTCTTCCAACCTTCTGTTACATTGACCCGAGATTGAATTTATTAGCTTGACAGGTGATCTCCAACCTCATTAGCTTCGTGTCAAAGCGTTCATTTATCTGCGCTTGCTTACCCAGTCATTTATTTAGCGGCAGGCATTAGGCCCGAACCACTGCTTTTAGCAGGCTTAGCACTGGGTCACAGTGGACCCCTGGGTCCGATCGGGGGCCCTCACGTCGCAGCCCATTGTTTCCAGTTCACAAATGAAGCGGGAATTAATTAGCCAAGTTGGCACGGCTCTCGGCCCTGGCGTGTGAGAGCTCGCTGTACAGCTCTGTGCCTCGTCCCTGAAGTCCAGCATGCCTGCCGGGAGCGTGAGCGGAACAGCCACGGGCGCATCGAACCCGCGGACCTCTGCCAGCCATTGAGCGAGGGAGAAAGGGGAAGGGACCTGTGTGCTGTAATGGTGACATGGTCCTCGGTAGAAAATGAAATGAAGCACTGTTACGAATCAGCCCCTCTCATCTCCATCAGTCCAAAAGTTGTGATGTAAGTAGGTCAGACTGGCAGGGGCCGAGGTGGAGACCGAATTAAGCCGGGAGAGGACCCCGTCCTTCTTTATTATCACTGACTTTCATTGTCTGCGTGAAGGAAATGGCGCTGAGCATATTGCGTTTAATGGAAAGGTGCGATCATTAGCCGACACGTTGCACTATTCCTGTCGTGCATCTTTAAACAAGGCTATAAAAAAAAAAAGAAACCGCGCTTGCACAGTCACAAAATTGTATTCACATTGTCATGTGGGTTAAATTTGGCCGCGGCCCTTCGCAGGTGTAATGAACGAGCTGAGGCCTGGGAGGTGCTCCTGCAGATCAGAGACGAGCCGCTCCGTCTGATTACTTGTCTGCTGTCACGGAGCTCCGCTCACTGCGACGATCTTTTTAAAGCAGACGCAGTGGACCGTCACTGCTTCTCATATTCTTTGTTTAGTCTGTGAGTCAGGAGCAAACAACGCAGCCCCGTTCTTTCCCCCCTTCCCCTTGAGATGCCTACTGAATTGTTTGCACGTATGCTGCGTCAATTAAGGCCACTGAAAGCCACCGACCTCCACCACCACCATATTGGATCTTAAACTGGGAAATGTTTCGACCGCAATAATTCAGCTGAGAATGAGATTGGATCTCTCTCTCTTTGGCCTCATGAGACGGTAGCTGTGAGGGTTTTAGGAGAAAAACAGCGAGGTATGGAAAATGAGCACTGTGCTCTCAGCTGCTCAAGTTATAACCGATCTATACACTTTCACCTGGATTAAGTTGTCTCTTTGTGTCCCCCCATTCCCCTCTCCTTTTTCTTTCTGTCTCTGCTGTGTCCTGTCCACCACCCCAGGGGACACCACGCAAAGGATGAGATCCGCTCCGTTTCCAACCCCTGCAGAATTGGATGCCTTTGCTAAGAAGGTTGCCAACAATCCCCTCACCATCAAGATTTTCCCCAACAGCGTCAAGGTCCCCCAGCGGAACCACGTGCGCCGCACGGTTAACGGGCTGGATACGTCGGGGCAGCGCTACAGCCCGTACCCTTCCGCTCAGGCCACTGCCAAGACGGGCCTCCTCGCCATCATCAAGGTGCCCACAGTCAAAGGCATCCTAAAAGATTTTGACGGCAGCCGGGCTTGCCTGCACTCCGACGTCATCATGAACCCCTCTAGCAGACCTTACCACGTGGCCTCGACCAGCACTTTAAACCACCACCCGGCTCTGCCCCGGCTCCAGCAGAGCGTACCCCTTCCGCCGCAGGACCCACCTCAGACTCTACAGATGCCCCTCCAGCAACAACAGGGTCACACCCAGAGCCTCAGACACCCTGCCCACGTGGCCCAGCACCCTCAGGGTCCACCCAGACTCCAGACTCTGTCTCAGATCCCGGCCCTTGGTCTCCCACAGGGGCCCCCTACCGTCATGCTTCAGCAGCAGCAGCAGCAGCAGCAGCCACCACCCGGCCTGCAGGGGAGCAGAAAGCTGCCAGATGGCGACGCACCGCCTAATGTTACCGTCTCTACCTCAACCATTCCACTCTCCATGGTCGCCGGCCTGCACCAGGGCCGCCAGGCTGACCTGAGCACCATTGTGCATCAGATCAACCAGTTCTGCCAAGCCCGGGCCCATGGCGTGGGAGCCAACTCCATGTGCGAGGGCCAGATCGCCAACCCGAACCCGATCGGTCGCAACATGCTCATCAGCGCCTGCTCCAGGGTGTCCATGCACAGCAACCCCGCCACCTCTGGCTTTCCCCCGGCCAACTGCATCATCGGTGCTCAAGAGAATGCCGCCGCCTCTGTGGGAGCCCACCCGCCACACGGCGTGGCTATTATGACCCACTTGCCTTCCAACCACACAGATCTCAAGCAGCAGCAGCACCACCACCACCACCACCACCTGCAGCAGCATCTGCATCAACAACAGGATCAGCAGCAGCAGCAACATAACACACAGCACCAGAAGATGCGCTCTTGGAATCAGCACCAGTTGGGTCACTTACCCCTCATTCAGAACGGTGGGAGCCACCTCTGCATGCAGCCTTCCAGGGACCACGCCTTCCATTTTAAGGGCATGGGCTACCCTGCAGAGGTGTGTGTGGGTCAGCCTTACACACTGAAACCTCCCGTAGAGAGGCCCACCCCCTCCCCTCCTGTCAACAACTGCATGCCCGGCCCCATGGCCCACTACGCCAATGGCCACTACTTCCAGTCCCACTTTTGGAACAACAGCATCCTACCCACACCCAACAGTGACAGCTCCGGGTCTCAGGACATACCCATGCCATTCCACGGTGCAGGCCCAGGGGGGTGCACCACACTAGACTGCGGGCCCCCTGTGGCCCCCCATTACAGGCTAGGATCGAGCTCCTCCACCTCGTCCTCCTCGGCCCAGAGTAATCTGATGCAAACGGCGGATTACTTTGCTGGGGACTTCCAGACTCCCTACTTCCGCGATCAGAATATAGGGTTGGTGAGCAAGATGCACAGGCCTCCTCTGAGCAGGGTCGGTGCAGAGGTGGGGGACGGCAGAACCGCTCTCACCCAGCACCCAGGGTACAGATAAGCTATGGCCTTGTCTACACGAGTTCTCAAAACCCGTTTGTTTAGTCTTAGGGAAACACAGAAATACAACTAAATGGATAACTTAAACAAAACACCTAATGTTGAAGAGGGTCAATTAATATATTAAAGAGCGGTAGTTTTTTTGCGGTTGTTTTTTATAAATCTTGCAAGTGATCAATTGCTACCCTTTTTTAAATTAGTGCGTTTATCTGGCACTTTAGGGAATTTGTTAATGTGCGTGTGTAAACACATCTGTACTGTGTCATTCCCTCCTCTCTCTGTGGGACTGGATCAGAACAGATCCTGTGTTATTCCTGCTGCAGATCCATCCATAATCTTTTCTTATGCATGTAAGGAAAAACATCCCAAAAACAACATCTAGTGCTGGATGTCTTTTTTTTGTTTTTTTTACAGGGTCATGTCAGGAACATTTGGCTCAGACTAGTTGTGGGATTTTCTTATTGGTGGAAACTCTCCAACCTCATAGTAACTGCAGGTTTTAACCGACAGAAAAGAAAAATAATAATTACGGCGCAAAGCCACCAGATAGTGGAGACTACAGAGTACAGTTAGAAAAACCTGCGGTATGCACATGTACACATTTGTTCCATTGAAATGTAATTATTTATTTGTATCATAGGACTATTCAAGATTGATTCCTCTGTCAGTTAAGGAAGCATGTAATCAGGTTGTTTTGTACATAGTCATGATCCAGCAGGGAGCAAGTAGGTTGTAAAGGCGATGCTTTGTCCTGCTGAAAATGCTGCAATTAATTCAGGTGTTTTAAAAGAAGAAAAAAAACGTCTCTGTCAAGGTTTGGCAAAAAAGCTAGTGAAATGATAGGCGCAGAATAGGTCTTGAAAGATCAACTGTCATACTTTAAAATGGCCAAAGTCGTGTTAACGAGGACACACTGTTATGAAGATGTGCCATTTTGTGTTTGTTTCCGATGTAACCATCGTTTTTTTGTAACCATCACAAATGTATTACTTGAATGTTGAGATGTTTTGTTTTGCAGTTATTGAAGGGGACAGGTGGGTTACGAGGAAAAAACTCGAAGAAATGATCGTGCTTCTAACGTCACGCAGAACGGAACAACGAGCCTCAACAGAGTTTTTATCCTGACCACAGGAACTTAAATTATATGTAGTTGCTACTGATTCTGAGGTGAAGACCAAATTGATCACTTGCAAGATCACTTGAAGGTAAACAAAACTGACTTTTGAATTTCAAGTGAAACAGCAAATGCATTGTTTATTTTATTGTACACTGGCTTATCTACTCGTAACTTTAAACGTTAACGATTGTGTGAGTGTTGCCTGCTGAAGTGGGTAGATTTAAGGGTGGGTGTGTGTGCGCGTGCGGGTGTGTGAGAGTGCGGGTGTGAATGAACACATTGGCGCCCATGTTTTGTTCACCTAACTCCCTAACAGCCCTTAAAAAGCCTTAAGTGTTTGGTCCTTGGACTTCCCTTGAAAAAGAGCATGGTTTAAATGAAAACCCCAAATAATGAAAGGATGGTGAGTAAGCAGAAACAGCAATTCTTTTTTGTTTATTTTATTGAGGTTTTGATGAATAGAGCCGTTCCTTATGGAAAGCAAAAGGAGTAATATTTTGTAATTATATATTTTAGTAATGTGTAGTTACAGTAACATTTCTTTTTTTTTTTCTCAAAGCTTCAGTTTGCAGTTGTGACTATTTATAATACTTGATTTGCTTGTTATTTAATTTGTGTTTCCTTTGGTTTCTTGTACTATTGCTGTGAAATGGAAGAAGGTCCACGAGCCTTTCTTTTGTGTCATTCTGTACAACAGAGAAGGGGCAAGAGCGTGAGAGTTGTGCTACTCTTTTTGTAATATTGTAATAATAAAATAAAGTTCTAATTTATGCTTTGAAATGGTTCTGAGCCCTTGTGTAGATTACCTGCAACACTGATTTAACCTGACGCCGACCACAGGTGTGCTCTTTTCTCCTGCTCCCTTCATTCTGCATGAGCTCATGCTGCCTGACCGTTCGGGTAGGTTACTATTCACAGATCGCTGTCTTGCATAATCAGCCTTCTAACGGTCCAAAGCGCCCCGCCTACACCTCATATAATTTGTAACCTAGACAGCTTGTGCAGAAGGTGGCGATTGTTGCACCAATTGCGGCGCTTTCATGCCATTTATCAGAGCCTGCCTCTGCCAAATCGAAAAAGGGAAGTAGGGTAGACAAAGCAGGCTGTGAAATCCACAGGACTATCTGGCTGCAGTAGATTTAGCTTGTCTGGCTGTGATGAAAATGGGACTTGTATAAAGGGCACTCCGCAGGAGGGCAGGATCAGCACCTTCGTAATCAGTATTACTCCCTGAAGGATTTTGAGCGATGTCAGAGGTGCCTGCAGGCTGTGGACTTTGTGCACAGCGGCCTCGCATCCTGTTCAGGTGGTGGGAGAAACGGCATCTGCAGAAGCCTTTGGATTAAATGTTTAATGTGTTGCAACTAAACTGCTCTTAATGCAGCTTCCGGCCTTTGAGAGGTCACATGCTTTACACCATTATGTCAACAAAGATGTGCTCGTCTCAGTAAAATATTGCCTCAAGGAAAATGTCAATTCAAAAACAGGCTAACTTGCAATATCTACCAGTCCCAAAGGCAGTTTAAACATTTGACAGTTCCATTTCTTTGTAAAGGGAACCATGTCTTTAGGTCTGAATGCCCCGATGCTCGGGTCAGCCAGGCCGAGGTACTGTGTTGTCTCTTAGACCGCTGTGGTGTTCAGAAGGCTCATCTCTGTGGACTGAGTTGTCAGCCTCCTCCAACTTCTCCAGCTCCTCCCTGTGGATGAATGAGGAAATACGCAGCATGAAAACATGTTTTGATCTAAGTAAGCTTGCGCCTGCGTTCATGTTTCTGCACCTCTGTTCACTATGTGCGGCGCGGTGTCTGAGGCAGGCTGCTCGCCGCGATCCCAGCAGCCGGGGTCCTCATTGATTTTGCCCAGGTTGATGTTCCATTTGTTCCAGTTGACTTCCTCCACTCTGAAACGACAAGAGGACACATGCTCCAATTAATGTCTGCGGTGTGATGCATCAATTGGCTTCCGGAGAAGGCAAATTAGTGTAGAACACAGTGTGCTGCGAGTCAATCGATCCCTCTCACACAGCTGGATCTAGTGTTTCATCTTCAAACCTAAACCTTTATTATGTGTGTATCCTGTAATTACCTGCCAGCTACGCGGTGCAAACAGCAGACTGCTTCACTATAATTTGCCCACCAACCTTGTACCTCTACTCTTTTGATTTGATTTGAAGCATTTTATTTCTTGAACATGTAGACACCAAATAATAAAAAATTTAAAAATCAACATAGACGTAGACCACAAAATGAGAAAATACACCTTTTGTTCAAGAAAAGGAGTAGGGGGAAGCAAAAGCTTATAGATACCCACCCCTTTCTTATCCATATTCTCAATTAGTATATATTACTTTGAAGATTAATATCATACATACATACATACACACACTCACACACACTCTCACCCACACACACGCACGCATACTCACACGCACAAATAAATACAATTTAAATTTCCTTCACTTAATATTTTCACAGATCTCATATTTGGCTAATGTGTATAATTTAAGATGTTTTTTGAACTGTGCAATATGTTTACAATCTTTGATCTTATCTGGTAAGTTGTTCCACAACTTCACCCCACAGACCGATATGCACCTGCTTTTGAGTGTAGAGTGCACCTTTGGTTGCCTCAGTTTCAGTCTCCCTCTTAAATTATAGTCTCCTAGTCTGTCGCTAAACCAACTTTGAATGTTTCCTGAGAGTAGGCTGTTTCTTGCTTTAAATAGAATCTGTATCGTTTTAAAATCTTTCAAGTCCATAAATTTTAATATATTTAATTTCAGAAATAATGTGTTTGTGTGTTCATAGTACCCCACCTTATTAACTATCCGTATTGCTTTTTTTTAAATCGTGCATATTGCCTTTAGGGTGCTTTTGTAGGTATTACCCCACACTTCCACACAGTAACTCAAATAGGGGGCAAACAGTGTACAGTACAGTGTATGCAGTGATTGTATATTCAATATATGTCTGACTCTGACTAGTATCCCTACACATCGTGCCAATTTTGATTGTACACGAGTGACCTGTGGCCTCCAGCTGAGCTTGTGGTCTATCATTACACCTAGAAAGGAATATTCAAACACCCTTTCGATTTTTATATTATCGATCATTAGTTCAATGTGGGTGTTTGCTTGTGTGTTACTTTTACCAAAGACCATAAATTTGGTTTTCTTTACATTAAGTGATAATCTATTTATATCAAACCACAATTTCAGCTTGGTTAACTCAGTCGAGACCGCCTCCAACAACTGTTCGAGGTTCCCTCCTTCTTGAAGTTAGAATTCAGCATGCTTACATTTACTCAATGAACATGTACATCGTGTAATATTTAAAGTTTGCACCATCGTAGCCTCGAATGTTAGCACGGCTGATGGCAATGGAATTGAAGATATTATGTGATCAATCGATTGAGATTTACGATTCATCCACTTTTAGTGGTGTGAAAAAAAAGGTGTAATTTTCGTACACAGCAATGGCTACTTTGGTTCCTTATCTTTTGGTTCACACGCAGCTTCTGGCAGAGCCTCTGGGAACTTAAACAAGCACACCTGAAACATCGGCGACGGTCGTCTCCGAGGGCAGTGCGGAGGTTCTTCTCTACCCCACAGCGGAACCTCCTCCTCAGACAGCAAGACAGTCTCTTCTCCATTTCCAGGATGGTGATAGCCCTCTGAAAACAGTCACAGCACTCACCATCAGCTCACGTCCACCATCTACAGACACCTTCCCCTCGTCCTCGACAGAGCCCTGGCTGGAGACCTCACCTGCAGCTTCCATATGCTGGTGCTCTCCTCGGTGGTCTTCTCCACGGTGCGGTTCATGAGGGCGATGAGCATGTTGAGCAGCAGGATGTAGGTGAGAATGATGTAGCCGATGAGGAGCAGGTAGAAGACCTCGGTGTTCTCGTGTTCCTGGGTGAACTCCATGTCGCCCATGCCGATGGTGAACTTGAAGAGCTGCAGCGTGGTGTAGGAGATGCTTGTGAAGGAGGGTTTGACACACTCCTCACCAGGATCCAGGGGACCAAAGATACGGCCCTTCGACGGCTGACTCAGAGTTGAGTTTTTCACTTCAGGCTCTATGAGCAAGGTGACCACCGCTGTGACAAGACATAGGAAACCGATTACGTACAGTGCAACCGCCAGCCGTGACATTGTTGGATCCCAACTGAGGCCGCTGCCGCCACACTACCTGCTGAAAAGCCAAAGAGGAAGACGATGTAGACGAGGAGGAAGCGCAGGATGTCACTGAGGATCATCTACGAGGACGGAAAGTGTCAACGCGCTTCAGGGAACCGTTCGATTTGATGTTGATTGTGTTGCGGTGGGACCGGTGTGGACTACCTTCTGGATCATGATGCTGTAGATGCCCATGTGTCTGTCGCCCCTGGAGAAGTAGAGCATGTTCACCCAGCTGAGAGCGAGACACAGCACCAGGAAGCTGAGGTACTGCTTCTTCCCGCACAGATACAGCACAGCTGTGATCAGGAAGAGGACGCCCTGCACAAAACTTTCAACAGCAGAGAAGTCCCTGTGAGCCTGCACAGGTGTGTGATTATACATTCCATCAATGCACATGAATGATCCCTCCCAGTTCATCCAAAGCTGTTACACATCAGCAGTCCGAGCTGTGCAATAAATCCCCGAGTTATATCGTGATTAAAAGTGATCAGTTAAGTGAACGACCATCATTTAGTGCTACTATTTTAAATAATAAAGTGGTTCTTCTCCAGACTCGTCCTTTGAATGATCACTGGTGCAGCCAGGTGCTTTTACAGGCCACGTCATTTGTAAAATGGATGGTTGAAAAATGGAGATCATGTGTTTGTAGGTAAAACCTGCACCGGAAAGACAGAGGATCCCTCACAGCTAAAGGGGACAGACAATCCAGACACAGCATGGGCATATACTTATAGAAACAATTACTATTTAGCCATACTTACAAAAGGAACTCATAATATCCATCAATCAGCAGCGTTTGCAGCTTTGGACGTTTCCTCTTCATGTCTAAGATCTAGGAATTTACATAACATGTTTGATTAATCACATCAGCTGAACACAGCTGCCACTGCGTGGTGACAGGAGCCACTGGATTTTGTATTTTAAAACACAAACATACCCCTATGAAAAAGAAATAGCAGTTGGCCACCGCTGTCACTACCTGGCCTGAAACATACAGGTATCCCTTGGTGGTGTGTTCGATGGGATACGGCAGCTGCGGGACACAAAAGAAACGAAAGCACAACAATCAGCACAGGTCTGTCTGGGAAGGCGACACGGATCAGTCACAAGTTTGGTAGCGGCCAGCTCACCTGTCCAACTTTCTTATTGTAGGCGACAAGAGTGAAGATGCTCAGGTACACGAGGTAGACCAGGAAGTTGAGAAAAAACATCCGACCTGCAAACTTATTCCACTTCTCCTCCAGCAGCTGGCTCAGAGGCTCCATCTGGAGCATCGCGTGGCGGTTCTGAGAGGAGACGGATGCGTGAGCACAGAACAACGAGGGTATCTGCACCAGCTCATGATGCTGGGACTCACGGGTATGTCACTGCCGTAGACTAGTATCTCCACGACGGAGCAGTCCTCGTACGAGTCCACGGAGGCGAGGTCGTAAAGGGAGCTCTGGACTGGGCCGTAAACCCACTCGGTGAATTTACGGGACAAATGTTTTGTGTGACTCTCGTGGAATTCTCGTTTCAGGATGTGTGTAAAAAGCTGCAGACAAACAAAAGGGAGTTTAGAGCGAAATCAGGTCTAAGCCTGTTCAATCACATGACACATGACACTTGTCTATGACCCGGTCCAGAAGGCAAGAAACGATTGTATTTGTACGATTGAGGAGATAGAGGCCTGTAGTATATTGCTGGTCCCGGGCCCCAAAACATGTATATTCTGCTGCGTCTGAAGGGACTGCATTGGAGAGTTTACCCCGATCTTGCCCGTCTTGGCAGCCATTTTGAGAGGCGTCAGCCCCTTGTTGTTCTCGATGCCCTCCAGCTTAAGGTTTGGGTGCAGTTTGGCGCTGGTCTTGAGGATGCGGTCGTACATTTTGGTGATGAACTCTGTGTTATCCTTGTCTTGGTCCTTGGAGCTGGCGGCCACCGTCACCAGGGCGTGCAGCACCGTGTTGCCGTGAGAGTCCGTCATCTTAGCGTCCGCTCGTTGGTACTCGTTCTCCATGAGGAAGTCCACCACGGCGGGCTGGTTGGTGCAGGCCGCCAGAGACAGAGGCAGCTCCCCTGAGGACACAGAGAGACACTTTCTCAAAATATACATAACTTGAATGCAGCTGTCTGAACGTGAAACATGCATCAATTGAATCCATCAATGCATGAGCGCCCCCCCCCCACACACACAAATAACTTAAATAATAAGAGTATTAAGGGTAAATCATGAAACTAGTTATTAAGGATGCAAGATGACTTGATTTAAACATTCCATATCTTTGAAGACATGTTAGAAGTTAAACTGAATTTGGACTCTGCTAATTTTGCTAAATGGGGATTCAGATCCAGCTAACAAAATATATATTTTTTATGAGCAGAGAATGGGTCACTCTCTGCCTAGACGGATAACGACCGCTGTTAGCTTTTTCATGGCATTGTTGGATTTTCCCTCCTATGTTGTGACCCGTTTGGAGCAGATTAGCTCCGAATTCCGCAAAGAAATTATTAGAACATTTTACAACAAAAAAATGTATTGCTTTATGTTGCTCATTGTCAACGAGATTCTGTTAAAATACAAAAAAAAGTCAATAACATAAGCAGGGAAATGTGGATGTAGTCCGTACGTGACCTCGGTGGGAGGCTCATGAGTTGCATGCTCCTCTCTGCAGCACCTCCGACTCACCAAAGTAGAAGTTGGGGCCATCGTGTGGCTGGAAGAATAACCCCCAGGCTTTAGCATGGACATCTGCTCCTTTACTGACCAGCAGCTTCACATAGGAAATATTTCTCCTCTCGATGGCAACGTGGAGAGCCGTCTGGCCTGCCAGAGTCACACATTCACACAGTGCATTCAATTTAAAACAGATTCAAATCTGATGAAGTTTGTTCTCACAGCAATCATTTTATGTACACAATTTACCTTTATAATAATTGTTGGTGTAGGCTGCATTCACAAACTCCTTAATGTCGCCCATCTTCTCTGAAATGTCGATTAAGAGCTCCACCGTCTCGTTCTTGCCGTTCCTGAGGTGCAGCAGAGCCTTCATCAGGGCGGTTTTACCGTAGGACCGATCTGCAGGTGTGGCCACACATTGAGGGAGATGACACACAGGTCTCCGGCTCGCTGTCCGGTGATATCGGGTCTCACTCATTCCACTCACACAAGGAATCGGAGAGTTTCTTCGTGTTCTGCCGCAGGTACTGATGCAGGTTCTCCAACTTTCCGACATCCCCGCTAGCGGCCGCTTCGAATAGCCTGTCGATGGTAAAGGTGCTGCTGTCCTTCTTGTTCCGCTGCTCGCCTCGAATGCCTCTGTTGACAAAACGCAACGAGGGTGCGTAAGATTCACGCCGTGGGGTTTGGTGATGCACAGCACTCAATTTGTCTTTGCATGGCGAGGCTCACTTGTCAAAGTTTAGATTGAATCTGATTTGAGGCTTGGGCTTCTCCATTTCCTCCTGGTAATCCGTGTCCATGGGCACCTTGGGCGCCTCCTTGCCCAATCCCAAGGCAGAGGCCACGCCGCCCTTCTTTGACGCTTTCTGCCGCGCTCTCTCCTCCTCGGTCCGGTCGTCTGCCTCCAGAGAGAAGCCAATCTCTGACTTCTCCATCCTGGCCTCTTGCCCCGATGGTCTGCATGGGCGTAAAGCACGAGCGTGCATCATTCAGACAACCAACACATCGTGTGAAGTGAATTTGATTTTTTGAATCCTAGGGAACTTTACCTCCTGTAAACTTTCGGTTTCCAATTCGAGGGAGCAATTCAAGCGAAGGCAAAAAAAAGACACCAATTCTACCAGGTTACATGAAATCTTTTTCTCTTTGCTTGAACAGCGCACCACTGTGTCACACATGCGCTTGGCTTTGATCCAGCGGTCCCCAGGTGTCGTGTTGGTGCTTTATCATGTGTTACTATGTGTTTGGATCAGCTGGGTCTGAGACATCTTTGCCACATGGGATCACATCACTGACATATTTCCAGACATGTGATGTTTCAGCCCAAGTGACTAACAAAAGAGTGTATTCAGGAAAGGATTTCCATGGCAGCAGGGCACGCAGCCACTTCTTTGCGGAATAATCAGATCACATGCAAAGACGCAGTGTGAATGGCATGAAAAGATTCCTGCAGAATTCTGCTGATCACAATAAAAGGACATCTGACATTTTGACCTAAAATATTGTTTTAAGGATAATGAGAACCTAATTTTTGGTGGCGTCTCGTTCCGCTTTTCAATGGGGAATTGGTGACTCATCAGAATGCCGTGAGACTCTGATCATAAGATCCAGAGGAATGTGTAGTTCAGCAAGTTACAAAAGGATCTAAAATGCAGAAGTATGTATCGCGCGTGTCTTATTTTTAGAAACATGTCAAATCAAATGAAAAACATGTGTTTGATTTTAATTATTTCGTTTTCACTGACAAAACTATTTCCTTTGCGCTTTGTTATTCAATTATGTGTGATAAAGCACATTCTTCCACGGCATCCTGCAGATGTACAAGATACTAATATCACAAATATTAAGAGACACAATCGATTAAAAAACACTTTCATTCTTTCCCATATCATCTTCATCTCAATAAATAACAGGATAAACAAAGCAGTGCATTGCATCTTAGTTCTGTTCAACATGTACAAAATACGTCCAGACAAAGAGGATACCGGGGATACAAAATCAGATCATTTGACTCACCAGAAGTCTTCCTGCTCCAGATTGTCTTCTTGATTTAAAAATCAGATCAAAACAGCAGCCGCCGGTGCACACAATGGAGACCTTTGGAGAAGAGGCTTTCCAAGCACAAAGCCGAGGCCTCCTCAGATGCTCATCTACTAACAATCGGTTGGAGAGGGCAGGAAGAGGAGCGATAAAGTGACACGCCCTAGAGAATATCAGAGCACATTACTGGAGCTGGAGTGCTTAAAAGGATGTATTGACCATCTCGGAGTATGCTGAGACAGCTACATGATACAACAAAGTAACAGCATGTTATTGGACACGGAACATGGTTCATGATCGGCAAATCGCAGAGGTTTGACCTTCTCATGAGGCATTCGAGCAGGAACATTATTGGCCCCGTCAAAAAAGGAAAACGTCCTCGTGGCTCTTTGACAAAACTAAATAAATGAACTTACCCTTTTTTTGTGTCCGTAACGTTGCCTCGTGTGTGTCTTCTAGTTTCATGTGGGTGTGTTTGTTTTTCAGCGCTGCTGTGACCGTGTGGTTACAGCGGCTGCGCGTACCAGGGTTTGGATCTGCATTCACGAGATCGTCTGACGTGTACTCCTGAGATAACTTCCCCTTTTTACCGAGCACAGAGCCTCACATATTAACATGGTTACAGTTTGCACCGGATGGTTCAAGGGATTCAAATGTCAACCAAGTCGGCAACTAAGACTTTACATTAAGGTCTTTTCATTATGAATGCCTTTGCATTCAGTTATTCCCTCTTAAATGTATAATGGTACCGAAATACTTAACATCTGACACCAAATGGTCATGTAACAAAGCAATATTAATTACTAAATTATTAGTGCTTTGTTACATGGCCACATAACCTGTGAGCTAATTACCCTATGTATTTCTACACATATAACTGTGGTCACTTTAATAGTGAGTTTTGACCCAAATGACTTCCTCTTCTAACAACACTGATGTTGTCACAACTGTAGTTACTTATTATTATACTATAGACATTGTCACTAGAAATACACCATGTGTCAACAAGCCCCAACTAACACAACAGTGATAAGATCAAATTACAAAGTCAATGTCAAGGCTTAAAATTAAGAGAAAATGAGAAAAGAGCAGTATCCATTAATTTAGACATAGACCTTAATAGAAAACAACATGAATAATTTCAATCCAACGTAAAGATCTCCTTCCCAAAACGAGGACACTGGAAGTACAACATTTAAAGAAAATACAACCAGAATCTTTGAATCCAACGATCTGCAAACAGTCCGAGCAAAATATTCACTCTAATCAGCTCACTAACAAAACGATCCTCCTTGTCATTCCTACAGGATCCGACATAGATGAATGTTTATGTTTACAATAAGTTGACATGTGATAAATATTTCATATTAATTCTGGTATCAAATCAAGGCTTCTAAATACACCAAACTGCAACAGGCTAACTAATTGTTTTATTGTCCCATCAATCCTATTGCATATCACATCAACCATGTTTCCACACAGGACCACTGTAATGTGGTGACTTGGAAATTACATCTTTTAGACTTATTGTTGAGTGGAAATTAAAAGAAAATAAGCTCCTTGTATGCAACATTGAAAGGCAGATATGAAGGAAATTGAACTGAGGAAAATAACATCCCCATCATAGCCTATTTTCTGCATGAATGCCAACACGCTAATAGCTGCAACCCGTCATCTCGCTGATAAAACCATGCAGCAGATATGGTTTCATCCAGAGAAGGAGTCCAACCGGAAATCCTGTTTTTCAGAATGTCTGGGATCTTTGAAGCAGTCCAGCAGCACAGTGATTTTGATCAACTTCATGAATTTATACAATGCATTTCCGGAATAGAGGGTCAATGAGAATGAACAAGATGCATCTGAAAAAAATAAACCTTACATAAAGCATCTTTTACTTTGCCGGATTATTCCCTTTTTAAAATAAGCAATTGAGTTCTTAATGCTTCTTTTTTTACGTCCAAATGTTCGCATATATGTTCGACTGCCTTGTAGATTACGACTCAGAGCAGGTCACAGAGGACCATGGCCGCGCCCACAGCAGAGTCTGCGTTTTGGCCGTACACCACCGGCTGAGTGAACGCCTTCTCCACCTCCTGCCTCAGCACCTCATTGCGGGCGATGGCGCTCCCACTGCCCACAATCCTGCTGACGCCGGCCTGCTCCAAACGCTCAGCGGGCATCATGGAGGTGAGGTTGTCCAGGACTCCGCGGCACAGCGCCCTGGTCAGGTGACCCAGGGAGAGATTGGCAGGGGAGATGTTGGCGACCTGACCCAGGCCGAGCGGGTTGTGCCTCTCGCCCAGGATTGTAGGACTCACTCTCAGGTCGCTCGTTCCCGCATTCAGGCCGCAGTCAATCAGCTTCTCGTACAAGCCAGTATCACTCACCTCTGCACCTGCCAGGGATGAGAGGAGTGATTCAACACTTAAAATGGAAATAATCTATCAAGGATAAACGGGGCCCTGCCCTCTCTGGGCTCTCATTGACTCGACAATGGCGCTAGACCAAAAGGTAAAGCATCACCAAAGTGATTTATAACTCCTCCCGAGGGGGAACATGAATGTGTGTACAACACTTAGCAATCAATGCAATAGTTGTTGAGCCATTTCACACAAAGTTACATGTGTCAATCTCATGGAAAAGGAAAAGTCAGGATTAACGAAGTCATTAGGATCGATCATTTGGAGACCATGAATGCCCATATTAAATATAATAACTTTGGTGTGGACCAATGCCATGAAGAGCCAAACTACTAGCATGGCGAAAAATGCCTACCAAGTTCTTTCATCCAGGAAGTGAGCATTCCCACAAAAGTGGCCATCACATTCCCGCCATTGAGCGAAGCCGCCACCGCCAAGTACGAGTCGCCGAAGTAGGGGAAGTAGGAGACGGAGGAGGCGGGCTGAGGAGAATCTGGAGGTTTGAAGTTGGCTGGCATGGCGAAGCTTAGCTGGGCTGAAGTGCTTATGTTAAGAACTGTGAAAATAAGAGTCAAACTGACATAAGTGGAGTATGAACTAACCTCTGATACCAGAGACACGGAGGACAGGAATACACTCGTATGTGTACATTTGTTCATCTGCGTGATCAAACATAATGAGTACAAACAAAGACGCGGGTGTTTGCTGCTGTGTACCTTCTTCGTTGTTATGTTAAACTTAGGCATGTTGTATTGAAGCATTACTGGTTGTGCATTACAAGCAATACAATCAATGCATTAAAACATGCGAAAGCCGTAATGGATTCTTTTATCTGAGGTGCATGAAAATGTACCTAAATAAAGTAAAGCAGTATAAGCTTAGCCAGTGAAAGAAACACCAAGACCTCCTGTTTCACCTGCATCTGTTCCAGCACTCTTGCAGGAGTACACAGAACACTGAAAGTCTCCCAGGGCGGCGCCTACTGGCGTACCAGCAGGGATCCCGTGCCATTCAGAGCACGTTCGTCCCGCCACGCACCCAGATGGCACACACTGAGGGAGCAGGTGCAAAGGGAAGCCGGCACCCTTCAGGCTAGAGCGCACACACACACACACACACACACACACACACACACACACGATTTACGCTGTTACGCATTACAACAACACTACAACCAAGGTGCACAAACTATAAAAAAATGTTTTATGTATTTAGTACTTAGACTCAACACTAAGTTCTTCCTTTTACATACATGTCTAAGTTCCACTGGTTGGAGGAGGTGTTGAAGAAGCCCCAGCTGGCTGCGTTTTGGGGCGTCATCACACACCCCTCCAAACCACACAGCATGGACGCCACATAGTCCTGAATGGTACCTGCCGCGGTGAAGTCCTCGAGGAACTCAGGTCTGCAGTGAAAGCACACATTTCACTTTCATATCACTGAACCGACTCTACGTGGGATTGTTTTTTTTAAACGCTGCATGCCGACCTGTGCTTTGCATGCCAGAGGATCGATGCACAGCCGAACCCCGTGGCTACGCCGAGATGAGAGTCTGGTTTTGGAAGAGAAGACAGGAAGCTGCTGCTGCAGCGCCCATCCTGCCAGGTGATCAGCTGACTGGTGTCGCCGCATGTGAAGAAATTCCTCTTGGACCAAACACAACCTGCGAAGGTACATGGACAGATACAGGGGACAATATGACTTGCATGTGCCTTAATGGTATATTTATAATGACAACTAACCTTGTTTTCATATCATATTCAACCAGCAGAAGGCGTAGTTGTTAAAGAGCTATAACGAGCAACAAGTTTCTGTTTTAAAGGTTATGAGAAGATTCCAGTTCCTCTAATTTCCCAGCTCCACGATCCATGTTCAAAAAGCAACTTAAAAAGTCACCAGTATTGCAGAGTGGAAAATTAGTGCGATTGAACAGTGTGGAAAACAAATCACAACGGCCTTCACTAGTAAATGTTTCTCTAAAGACAATTCTCAAGTTAAACATTATTGGAACTGTTGTCAAAAATGTAATAGTAAATTATCTCTGGGCTGTAAAGACTGAAGAGGTTGTCAGGAGCACATGCTCAAAGAAAAACAACTGCACTGCAACCAGAATAACCGTGACACATCCAAACCGTCTCCAACTTGAATCACCGTTATGCTTGTTCCCATTGATCACAAATGGGAACAAGCATAAAGGGGGGGGGGGGGGGGAGTGACTAACACTCGGGAGGCCCTTTTAACAGTGAGACTGCGTGATAGAAGCTACACTGAGACAAAAATGTCACTCTACAGTTAATTTAAATAGTGTAACCAATTGATTCCCAATAGTGATGAGAAGAAGGTTGAATGAATGCAGCTCTTTAGAAAACATTCAACGGCTATGAGAGTGAGATTTGGCACCCTTATATTGGGACCCTTGCAGCGTCATAATATTAAAGATCTTCTTGGGCAGATGTGCGTTGTTTAAATGTAGGGGCCACAACGTGAATGACCCAATAACGCAGGAGCCTGAGGGATTTCCTTCACGGGACATGGGTATTCATCTGTACAGGGCCACCTCTTTATTTCAGGCTAATTGGTGTTTGGACAGGTATCTAAATTTGGGAAGCCGGGACCATCAAACTAACATGGTTTAAAACATTGACACTTTACAACCACTTGACGTTTCCTCTTTGATCACACTTCAAATGACTTCAACAATGAAACGTTTCTTTGCTGCTGAAACGGTTAATGTTTCACATCCGTTTTGTTTTTTTCCAAAACACGTGCCACAACTTTTGAAACGCAAAGTGTGCATGGTAAGTGGGTAGTAGTGTTGTTGTTTTACCGCTTCGTGCTTTCCAGAGTAAAACCCCGTGCATCTGCCCGGACAGCCCGATACCGATGACATGTTGCAGTTTGTCACTTGGCAGCAGGCCGATGCACCGGTTCAGAGTGTCTATGATCCGACCGGTCTGCTGCTCTTTCGCCTGCGCGGAAAGAGACACACGCACATCGGGGTCAATGTTGCTGCACTTTTAGGAAGAACTGTTTGGCATTACGTGAACGCACCACGGAACGCACTCACCTTTATTCCGCTGTGGTCTGTTATATCAGACAAAGTTGGCAAAGCGTGACTCGCAGCCACCGACCTGGAGCCAGTTTCTAATAAAACAGCTTTTACCGACGTGGTGCCAACGTCCACACCAAGGATATAGGTAGACATTGGTGATGATGAAACTGTGTTGTGTCACTCGGGCAAAATCCACTATGCTGCATTCAATGATGTAGTAATTTTGACAATTACATATTACACCCACAGATTACTTCCTTCTATAAAATACTGAAGAAAAATCTCAGAAAGAATAAATAAAACCACCCCAATTATTTCTGTTTGCGCCTTCATGCCGAAGAGGGAGAAACATTTCAGCAGAATAAAGCCTGCTTTCAATTTAGTGGCTGGCTCACTGTATGAAATTCACTTATTGGTCAATTCCACCTTCATGATATGACAAGGCCAACCATTATCTGTGAGAAGCCATGAAGCCAGACTTTGCTGTTTATTGGTCTCTGATATTCAGATTATAAGGAGGGAAAGGAAATGGGAAAGAAAGCCTTTGTCGCTCGGCATAATTTACCCATGCTACCCATGCTACCCATGCTTGATAATTGCAATTGTAACAGAAATATCCGCTGTTATCGTTTTAAAAAAATGATATTCTAACTTAATTTCATCTGTTTTGTTGGCTAGCAATGCTAGAACGTATTTACCCAAACTATAAAAGTGTCCTACTCTTGAATGTGTTGAGAACGCATCACATCGTCGCCGCCTGTTTGGTTTGATCCGGTTTGGACGCGTCCCACAATGCACTGCGAAAGAACATGGCGGAACGTGTTGTAGGTGCGCTGTCCAGAGGAGAATGAGCGTGCCGTTTCCGTGCCATATACGCTGACATTTCGTAAAAGCAATCTGTTATTCAAGCCTGTCAAGTTGCACGTACAGATTATGTTTTTGTAATCTTACTGTGAAGAGCGACGAGTCCCTGCGTGCATTTCCGGTGAGAATCTGTCATCTGTTACCGTCTGAGCAGCCCAGTTGACTAGCTAGTGGCTAATGCTAGCCTATTAGCGTCATAGGTTACGCAGTGTATCATGGCAATCAGGCTCTCCAGACGCGTCCTTTTGTCTCTTACTGGTCTTATGTGGGCATGTGTTTGTCACCATGACGCTTTAACATGTTGGTTAGCTAACGTTATCTACTTTGATCGATGGTGGTCCGTACTGGGCTAAGCTAACATTACCCACCGCTGACATGACTCTTCTCATTTTGTCTTTGCCACACAAATCAGGGGCTGTCATTGAACCGAAAACCATCGACCTTTGTCATTTTATTGCCATAGTCGTTGAATATGTTGTCACATAAGATGTCAACTTATTGGCATCTGTAGTCATTGTTTAAATGAGCTTCGGCGATAATTCAATGGCCTTAATTTCCAGCAGTGTAAAAATCCTTAAAGGTAAAAGCTGTGTGGATTCAGTGAGTGTTGTATATAATGTGTATGACGAATTTAACCAGATGTAGGTCCGAGTTGAGTTCAGATTTTGATTTTTTTTTTTTAACCTTTTTCACAATCCATTGTATAAGGAAAGTAAATAATGAAACGCCAAAGTTTGGCTTTCATTTTGTACTACCGTGTCATTTGCAAGGACATTTGTCATTTATGCATCACAATCTGGCCCTTGTCATCAGTGTATGAATCGGTGACTGATGACATAAAAGCTTTACATATACAGTCCTTTTACCGTTTTTTAGGTTTTATTCTCCATGTCTCTGAAATATATTTAGCTGAGTAAACACTTTCTTTGTTTGGATCGTATGAGTAAATGTTACTATTTTTGTCTAAATCTCCCTTTAAAACAGGATAATTGTCCTCTGATATCTGACCTGAGTCGAGATGGCAGCAGTTGTAGCCAAGCGTGAGGGACCACAGTTCATCAGTGAAGTCGCTGTGAGGGGGAACGCCGCCGTGCTGGATTACTGCCGCACTTCTGTGTCCGCTCTGTCCGGAGCCACCGCTGGCATCCTCGGGCTGACTGGACTGTACGGCTTCGTTTTCTATGTCCTCTCCTCTTTCCTACTCTCCCTGCTGCTCATCCTGAAGGCCGGACGGCGGTGGAATAAGTTCTTTAAATCACGGCGGCTGCTCTTCACCGGGGGCCTTGTCGGCGGTCTTTTCACTTATGTCCTGTTTTGGACTTTCCTCTACGGAATGGTGCATGTGTACTAGAATGATCCATCACAAATAACCTTGAATTAGCCTAACACTATTGTCTGCCCTGCTGTTTGTAGATAAGCCATTAGTAAAATACATTTTTCAAAATTGAACCGCTGATTAAATGTGATGTGTCAATTATAGTACGCAGAATAACCTTATTTTCCCTGCTCCACAGGACTAAGTGACTCAACGTGTATACCCTGCTCTGTGCTCCGTATCATCCATAACACGCCGAGAGCTAATATAATGTAGCCCATATGTGATATAGATCAAACCAGATGATATCCTACATGTTAGCGTTTTCCATGTACAATATTATAGTTAAATTATAACATCTGATAAATGACACTGTACAACTTGTTTTTATATCTTTTTATCAGTTTGTCATCAGGCAGTTTCATTTTTTTGACAACATGAAATGAAATTACAATTGTATTTCAAAGACCATTTAATAAATAGTAACAAACAAAAGAGTCTGTGCATTGCACCATTCAATAACAATCAGCCAGTGAACGTTAGCACTCAGTAGACTTGTAGGACATTACAACTACATTCCACAGCTTCACGTGTAAGTATCATGAATAAGATTGTGTTGTAGACCTTGCCTGGCTGAGCTCAACGTCGACAGAAAGCAGGATTAGTGTTTAACAGTACATTCATATTTAACAGAAGTGCATGATGCATTCAACAGAAGTGCCAACAATTAAGACCGTTAACTTATTTTTTCATATTGCTTCTTGGTGCAGTTAATTTTTTTATCTATACTTCAATCATTAAGGGGTTTTGTGACTTGATTTAGCAGGGACAACTTGATTTTATTTATTAGCCGGCAATGTCTATTTTACTTAATCCAATCCTGCTATTGAAGTTGATGACTTCACAGCTAGTACTTTTCCATGAAATGTCAAAATAAATCCTTAGTAATCATATGATGCAAACTGTATATTTGCTTAATTAGTCTGGTCAACAGGCAAATAATCGCCAAACCTTCATTTGCACGGTAAAATGAATTATTTGCATTATTATTCACAAAGTAATCTGCCAATATTTGGCATTCGACTTGAAGTCTTAGATGAATCACTTCTGTCATTTTATCCCCGGACCTGTTTTGGACAGGTTTGGACCCTTTGGATGTATCGTGTATGTATCTGCTTCCTGGCGCTTGCTTCCAGTGCTGAACATTTACATTTCTCTGGACCAATGTGCTAGTACTCAGGTCAAGCATCACTCTGCATTCCAGCAGTCGTGCCAGTAGGTGACAATTGAGCATCTGTCCGTCTTTGGGTTCCACCTCTCGCAGACTGCTGCAGGTGATTGGTCTTGGTCTGCCTGCTTAACCTAATTGTGTGAAGATATGGTGATGTGACGCCTCGCCTCTGCACCGTGGGGAGGGACCATGGCAGAGTATCGCTGTCCTGTGTTGCGTGGGACTGTGGGACCCCGTTTGTCCTCCGGCAGCTGGCTCCCTGCGGCAGCCTCGGTGTCCTCTGGCTTTTTGAGGGAGTTGGCGGCCTCCTTCTCCGCAGCTGGTTTCTTGTTTCTTCTCTCCCGCTGCCCTGTCTTCCCATCCTTGGGTTTGCTCTTATCATTCCTATGACATACAGTTCGAAGGAGAGGTGCCAAGAAATGTTGTGTTAAACGTTTGGAAAATGGCTGATTTTAAGAATGCCCACCGTTGATGTTTGTGCAAACACAGCTACTCCTACTTGAAGTTGATGATCTCAAACTTTCTCTCTCGGTAGAAGGAGCTTGTGTTCATCATGTACAGTAGTATCATATCACACGCGAAGGCTCCCTGAAAGAAAATCATATCAACTGGATTTTCACAAGGTGCAGGGAATCATTATTTAGGTTGCTGGTCATCATCCATTGTCCTGTCATATCTTGCTAATCACCAATTCGCACATCAACGTAATATCCTAGTTAATTACTCACTGCACCGAGCAGGGCAATGCCAGAGCCGATGGCAATTATTGTGGGAACAATATTGAATTTCCCCGCCTGCAAAACAACAACACGCATTAACTGCAAGTGACACTGGAATCATGTACCTCCATCTGAAACAAACCGTATCCTACCACTGCTGTACCTGTCCATTGATCATTATATCGAAGCGAATCCCGTACACTTTATACAAAGTGCGGAAGGTTTCACCATTTTGATCCTTGTAGTACCTGGCATATCTGGAGGTGCAAATCAGTCGATAAAACATGGCAATAAAGCAGGTCACAGGGGGTTTATTTGTCGGATGGTTTATTTCTTGCTGAATGTGTGAAGCCACATACCTGAAGTTGTATCCCGATGTGACCGAATTGTTCAAGTTCATGTCCAAACGGGAAAAGCTGTACTGTGGATTGCACTGTGAGGAGTCCTTATCCAGGTCACATTCCCACTCAATGAGAATGCCGACGGACCCGCCCTGCCGGACGAAGCAGGGACCATTGTGATTATCGGAGCAGCCTCACACATCCTACTGCAGCCCATCTCTTTTTGTTGGTTTCTTTTAGGTTCTCCACTGAGCTCGGTGTCTTATCCCTGCCTTCCGTCTGGCTGAGTAAACCTTAATTAAGATTGAAGTTGGGTTGAGCTCTGATGGGAACGGTGTGATGTTAAACCACAGGTTGCTGATAACATTAACGAGGGCTCCATCCCAGTAAGACATGACGATGGGGCCTCAGGGCCCTGTGACTGGGTCAGTCCGTCAGCACAGGGAGCCCAGTTTCTATGAGGACGGTTCGGCTGCTATCAAGTGGACCTACGCCCGGAGATAATTGTTTCTTTTTCATCAGACCAAACATCCGTGCTTGTTAGGTCACGTGATAATGTTCAAACAGCTCCGTGACATCTGAGGAACGACTTGTGAAGACTATAAAGCCACAAAATTGTCCAAAATTGATATTTTACTATTTCTGCGCAACCACTGTGATTTCCAATGAAGCCGTAATCCATCAGAATAGTATTGTTCTTGTGTTTAGTAGGCGCAGAAGTTAAATGTTTTCTAAAGGTTTACCCGTGATGAAATATTCCTTTAGAGTCTAATGTAGTCAGACTTTTGTTTTGATCCCCTTAAATCTGACCGCCGTGCGTACTCGTCAATAATAGCAATGATTAGGTTAATAATTGTTATATGAAATGATAGCAAAGAAGGCGGGAACTGAAATCCCTCCCACACACACTCTCAAGTGGCACGTTGGTGCACTCGGTACCTTAGCAGCCATGTCCTGGAAGTCGTATCCAGTCCAGCTGACCAGATCTCCGAGGCGGAAGATGGGGCAGTACACGTCGTCCTGGCTGTCGTAGGTGCAACTTTTCAGGTAGCTGTCATTTGAGGTTTCAAGGACGTTGGACCTAAAAAAGGTCAGCCGACACAAAGCACAACTTCCATATGTCACATCTTCAGGAACTATGCAATGCAGTCTGTATTGTTGAGTTTGACCAATGACAAAAAACGACAAATATGACTTTTGAGGATAAGAAAGACAGACTAAGTTGCTGCTGACTTTGGTAACACCCGTCACAACACATTTGTAACTACCGGCCAATTAACCTAATTAAGATTAGTGAGATGGTTGCGTAATTAGAATAGGAGAGTGACAGATGCACTGGTGGACGCTCATGGCGTCTCTCTGCCTTCTCTTTCTGCAGGACTTTAACAGACAGTATAGATGGCAGCGGCTCAGCTCTCCGGGTCAACCTCGTCTGATGGGACACCTGTCCGGGGCCAGGCCTGCTGTCAAGGGCGTCTCAGATGACTGTTTCACTGTCTCGCTGAGCGCAATGCACAGGCCGGTATAAATAGACGTCTCTCTGCACCCTAAAGCTATTCGCAGCGGCCTTCGGTCTCACTCGGTGATCTATGTCACGGCGCTCTGAAACCACAGGCACCACCAGCCATCAGCGCCACTTACGGACACTCACTTGGAGAATTCAAACTTTGGGAACCTGATGAAATTCTTTATGTAGATGGTGAAGTTTTCCGCTTCGCTGAGTAAGGGCTCTCTGCGGTGGGGAAAGAAGAAGGCAGCTGTGTGAAATGAAAACAAAACGAGCGGAGCTGACAGGCTGCATTAATAAATAGAACTTGTGAAATATCTCGGCCCCTGTGAGGGATCAGAGTGAGTGTCAATGTAGGAGAGAGAAATGGCACATTTCTAGAGCTCTGCAAGAAGGGACAAGGGGTCTCACGTGGGTCTCTGGCCGGATTCAACGGGACACCAGGCCTGAATCTCACAGGTCCCGGTGCTGTTCAAACACAAGCCGGTCTTTATTCCTGACGGAGAGCGCAAAGACTCTTAGCCATGTTGAGCTTTAGGAAAGTTTGTTACACCAAGACAAATTGGAATACGTAAACTATTACTGTAAAAAGATAGTTAATAACCAAAATGAAAAAAAAACAAAGATTTTGAGTTGAGTGAAATGACTCACCATGGCCTGCTATTACGGTCTCCCCCTCGATGCAGTCAGCGTCACTTTGACATCGTCCACTTGGCACCTTGAAGCTCTGTGGGATGTGAAAATACATTCGTGTGGACATAGCAATCAGTCCCAGTTTACCCTATGGTTACTGTGTTAAGATGGAGAAAAAACAATCACAATAATAATAATAATAATAATTTGATTTGCCTCCCTCCGTTTACTCACCTCAGCACAGAACCCCAGCCTCTGGTTTGGGGTCTCTATGTAATTTGTTACTACAAAGAACACCTGGTCACCCTGTGAAATAAAATTAGGACCATGCAATGTGATTGAGAAGCAAAAGGTTAAACAAATTAGACTTCTAAAACGTCCAATATTGCCAAATCTGTGGCGACAGATGACGAGGCTAATGATAACCAGCTAAAGCAGGCAGCAGTAATCAGGCTTTATAGATCAATGGATATGTGGACAGACAGACTCACTCACATTCGGGGGTACGACATAATCCTCAGCACCCCACAGTTGAAGCCCGGTCTCTGAGCTGTTGGTCAGTGTAACACCTTTAAGCTTGGTGATGACTGACGTCTGGAGGGCCTCTTCTCTCTCCTGGTAACCCTTCTTCACCACGAACACCCACCTGAGACGTTCATCAAAACATCCTGACGCGTTATGGTGAGTTGGGGTTCCATGCATCGGCGCAGCGCGTTGGTCGGACATCACCAGCGTCATGCTGATGTCATGCTGTGTAAATATCTCCTCCCCTGCATCGTGGAACTTTCTGCATCTCCACTTAAACCGCGTTGAACTATTCATCACATCCATTTGCATCTGGGGGTGTCAGCCGCACCCACAGAGAACCCTCCCGAGGTACAGGACATGACACAAAGCCAAATAGGAATTTATACCGCACACTCCCCCTGCAGCCATTCACTAAAACTTAAGTTTTATTGGCTAAATCGGATATATGGACTCAAACGGCCCGAGTCACCTGCTCACTTTCCATCATTCCTGCCACACACACGAGCGTGACGTCACTCAGCGAGGGCTTCCTGTCTACAACAAAAACTCTTTGACACACAATAGTTACACAGTTCAAAATAGTTAAATGTGACACTCTATGGTACTGTGACTTTAACAGTAAAAAAAAAAACCCTCAACGCATTTGGGAAGCTTAACTATTTTTAACTTTGTGAATCCATTTTTAAAAGGTTGCTTTATTCCATGCCTAAAAAAGGGGGCCTTAGTGGCCCTCATAAAACTCACCCGATGATGTATCCCAGCACGGCCAGCTGATACAGTCGAAACAATATCCCGATTTTCCGGTTTTCCGCGATGACATATTTCTCTGTCTTGTAGTTGAGGAGTGACACGAAGAAGCCTCCCCAGCCCGCCATCCCCCCCCCTGCACGCCGGACCCGAGTGAGGCGCTCCGCTCCCTGCTGACAGACAGCCTGCTGCCCCCAGCGCGTCACGTGACGGGCAAACCCACCGCGAGAGGGGCTGTAAAGCACCAACACCCCCCCCCACCCCTCCCCCCCGAGACACGATGGGACACGATGTGTCACTTTGGGTCCCCGCGAAACGCTCCACAGGAGTGATCGCTGACCGTATATGGCCTCCTTTGGCTAATTTTGCTGTGAAATTCCAAAATAAAATAAAAAAATCTCAGGTGATTAAGGTAGTTCACGGATTTAATTATTTTTGTTGCAATACGATAATTGCATTGATGTTTCCTTATAATACTGGACAGGTACCATACTCAAAAAGGGACTTGTAGGACAATAAGAATTTGTGTTATTATGAATACTGAATGAGAAGGATAATTAATGCTTTCAGTAACAGAACTGAAGAAAATGTGTTTTTCCATGTTGTATTTTATAAGTGTAAACTAGAGCAATTCAATGAATTCCACAGTGAAAATATTGATTTTTTCTCCATCTTTCTACTTTAAAATGTTTGCCACGGGCTTTCATCATCTGGTATTGGGTCCCTACTTTGTAAATCAGTTATCGAAATGTGATTTTTTATGATCGGTATCACAAGACTTCATGCTACATGCAGAAGCTACGCCAACCCAGTTGTGGATATCTACAAGCAGCTGCTTTTGACCTGCTTTTTATGTGATCACAAGCAGTTTTATGGGAGCCCGGCTGCACTGGTACTTTTAACCACAGATTTGTATAGTTGTAGAGAGAATGTACCTGCAATTTGCAGGGTAATTGCTAGGGACATCTAGTGGCTGTATGTGACATTGCATGCTTTAAAAAACAACACAGTAGTCACCAACATATGCAGTAAGATTGAATTCCTGTTAGGGACTTAATTGCTATATCAATTGAGGTATGTGCGGAGAGTAGAAAAGTTACAGTATTTTTACATCTTTCTTCAGTTCTGTAAATTCCCAGATCCCAAAAAAATGTGAAGCACACACAGCCTTTATCAATTGCCTGCATATTGTGATGGAAATAGAAAAAGCATTGTGCAGCTATCTTGGAATGATTTTAAAAGTACATTATAAACCATATGTATGCATTATCAATGTATTTGTAATTCCAGTAAAACTGAGAATCCCCTAATATGATTTACTAACACCAACTTGCCAAAGATGGCATCGTGATGTTCAAATTATTCCATGAGGATAGGATTAATAGATCCTAAATGTACAACCGTGTTGAGATTTACAGTGAGGACATTTTGTAAACACTGACACTTCCATTGGTCACATTAGAGACAAAAACAAAAACTAATTTAATATCACCTTTCATTCGATTAGGATGTCATGTAAAGCAAGATATATGATGAAAACCATTTATTGACCACTCCTCAGACGCAGCACAAGATGGAGGGTGGACTCCTTCTGGATGTTGTATTCGGAGAGGGTGCGGCCATCTTCCAGCTGCTTGCCGGCAAAGATCAGCCTCTGCTGATCTGGGGGGATACCTTCCTTATCCTGGATCTTGGCCTTCACGTTCTCGATGGTGTCGCTGGGCTCGACCTCCAGCGTGATGGTCTTGCCAGTGAGGGTCTTCACGAAGATCTGCATGCCTCCCCTCAGACGCAGCACAAGATGGAGGGTGGATTCCTTCTGGATGTTGTAGTCGGAGAGGGTGCGGCCATCTTCCAGCTGCTTGCCTGCAAAGATCAGCCTCTGCTGATCTGGGGGGATGCCTTCCTTATCCTGGATCTTGGCCTTCACGTTCTCGATGGTGTCGCTGGGCTCGACCTCCAGCGTGATGGTCTTGCCAGTGAGGGTCTTCACAAAGATCTGCATGCCTCCCCTCAGGCGCAGCACAAGATGGAGGGTGGACTCCTTCTGGATGTTGTAGTCGGAGAGGGTGCGGCCATCTTCCAGCTGCTTGCCGGCAAAGATCAGCCTCTGCTGATCTGGGGGGATACCTTCCTTATCCTGGATCTTGGCCTTCACGTTCTCGATGGTGTCGCTGGGCTCGACCTCAAGGGTGATGGTCTTGCCAGTGAGGGTTTTCACAAAGATCTGCATGTTTTCTCCTGTTAAAGATCAAAAAAGGTTCAATGTTACCAATAAAACTACATTAAAATGGACTATAACCAACTAACATTGGTATACTCTAAAGCTATATTGGGTATCAAATTAATTTGACCAGCTTACATCAGGACTAAATGATGGCGATCTCATTCTAAAGAGAACATCTTACGTCTAGCGTTTATTATGAGGCCATTTCGTTGAGGGCCTCTTCCTGTCATAAGTACATTACGTGTCGAATCGCGTAGTACATTTAACACAGGTTTTTTTTGCATACAGCCGCCATTTTCGAGAACTCGTTACTTATCAGTATATTTTACCATGATTTATAAAACGGAGCTGTCCCACTGCAGAACACGAACTCACTGGTCGGAGGTCGTTGATTCGAGCACCAGCGCCATTTTACAATAAGGTAACGTTAGCTATTGTTTGCCGTTTTTTTGTTCAGCTAACGTCACCATCTGACGGAAGACCCAACTAGAAATGTTCAACCATTGTTAGTAACGTTGAGTAACCTTTGCAACGGTGTCGCGTTGTTGTTCAACTTGTGGAATACGGTAATGTTGGCGTCTTAATCGTTTTGACGGTTATCGAAATTAACATTCGCCAACTGTTACTCTTTCGCATATGACGCGCCATCGATGTTGCGGCCTATCTTCAACGTTGTTTACAAAGCAGTTAACCGACGTTAGCTACTAAAAGAAAAGCAACTGGTTTAAGGCATCTGTAAACGGATGGTAAAGCAGTTGTCCTAAAATGTTGACGTATTTATACGGACTATTATACTTACAATGTGCTTCGGTATCTTGTGCTGCTGTGGCTCGTAGAATCTCCCTCTGCCTGTTACCAAGGGAACAGGAGTATTTATACGGGAGACGCGCCATCCGGCAATATTCATCCGCCCTCCAAAATAGTTCCGATTTCTAGGATACGGTTTGGTTTATGCCTGTTTTACCAACTATAGGACTGTCAATAATCAAAAGTTTAGGCTTAGACAATATGAGATATATTGCCCCAGGCCTAATATGTTGATATATGTAATATATATATATAAGAAGCCAACAGTGTTGAGCCAGTCTGGTTTGGGATTAGATGGTGAATAGCAGAAAATAATCCTCTTATTATCCAAAACCCACACTACTTTCTCCACTGGAGACTGTAGGCTGCTTTCTCCAGGGGTTCAATTATTTTGAACTTTTTTTATTCTACTGTAAATTCACAAAAGTAATTGCACACATACCTAATTGACGTGTTAGGGTGTAATGTATGCATTTGTCTGCTACTGATTAATGTTAACGTCTTGATGTTTCACCAACCATTAACTTGTTTTTAGTTTGTGTCCTATTCATGTCCACACCCAACCGCGCCCCACGGGCTTCTTTCTGCCTGCGAACACCCACGACATTAGACAATCTAGATATTTGTACTGAAATCTGCTATGAATATGGTGCACATTTTATCATGCTAACCTGCAGCCGGTAGATGGCGCTACAGCCTCAGGAACAGAAAAGTACCTTTCCAAGTATTGTGTGATTCACCAGCTCTCCTCCAGATCAACGGACCCTCTGCAAGAGCTATTTGACTTTATTTACTAAGCAAGGAGCATTATTTTAGTTTAAATTAACCCGTCATTAATTCCCTTATGAACCAAGTAGAGTAGATATCTAGATACACATCAACATATGCCAGCTCTGCAGAGAATCTTTCTATAGTCGCAGGTTATTAGTTACACAGAAATGCTTTGTCAGATTAAAAACTAATTTTGTGACCACGTGAGCATTTGTTAATCATGTAAATGTGGGTTAGATTTTCCTTTCTATACATTGCTTCACAAAACTATTTTTCATGGGGCACTATGAAGAAAAATTAAAAGCAGGATTCATGGAAGTTCATGATTCATGCTGGGTAGCTGTCAAATTTTTCTGTAAGTTTCTGAACCTCAGACTGTAAACAGATTAATTGCTCATTTTTCAGTTAGTCACAACTACATGCACTCAATACTAGAATAAGTTCTGCTCTCATTTGAAAACAATCATAAAGTAGACTAAATGTATTCAAGTCCCATCCTATATTTGTTGATCTTTTGAATGACCTTGTTTAACAATTTGTGTGTATTTTACAAAAAAAGTTACTCGATTACCACTCATGGAGCACTTCGTAGTTGCATAATTAATCATGAAAAATCCAAACGGTTGGTTAGCTTTATTATTGCCATGTTGTAAACCTGAGATTTACTTGAAACGTCTCAAAGATTTAGATTAAGGCGTTTGACCAATAGAAAAAACCTGATATTACACTATATGAAACATGGACGAACAAGGCAGGAGATTCAGTTTAAGAGTTTATTAAATGTGGCTAAACTTTGTCATGTAACTGTGAACATCTTAGTCTTGTGTAACAACTTTATAATACGGCATGTCATACATAGCACATTAATGTTGGAGAATTAAGAACATTGAATCACTTTACTGCCCTCCCCTCAGGCGCAGCACAAGATGGAGGGTGGACTCCTTCTGGATGTTGTAGTCGGAGAGGGTGCGGCCATCTTCCAGCTGCTTGCCGGCAAAGATCAGCCTCTGCTGATCTGGGGGGATGCCTTCCTTATCCTGGATCTTGGCCTTCACGTTCTCGATGGTGTCGCTGGGCTCGACCTCCAGCGTGATGGTCTTGCCAGTGAGGGTCTTCACAAAGATCTGCATGCCTCCCCTCAGACGCAGCACAAGATGGAGGGTGGATTCCTTCTGGATGTTGTAGTCGGAGAGGGTGCGGCCATCTTCCAGCTGCTTGCCGGCAAAGATCAGCCTCTGCTGATCTGGGGGGATGCCTTCCTTATCCTGGATCTTGGCCTTCACGTTCTCGATGGTGTCGCTGGGCTCGACCTCCAGCGTGATGGTCTTGCCAGTGAGGGTCTTCACGAAGATCTGCATGCCTCCCCTCAGACGCAGCACAAGATGGAGGGTGGATTCCTTCTGGATGTTGTAGTCGGAGAGGGTGCGGCCATCTTCCAGCTGCTTGCCGGCAAAGATCAGCCTCTGCTGATCTGGGGGGATGCCTTCCTTATCCTGGATCTTGGCCTTCACGTTCTCGATGGTGTCGCTGGGCTCGACCTCCAGCGTGATGGTCTTGCCAGTGAGGGTCTTCACAAAGATCTGCATGCCTCCCCTCAGACGCAGCACAAGATGGAGGGTGGATTCCTTCTGGATGTTGTAGTCGGAGAGGGTGCGGCCATCTTCCAGCTGCTTGCCGGCAAAGATCAGCCTCTGCTGATCTGGGGGGATGCCTTCCTTATCCTGGATCTTGGCCTTCACGTTCTCGATGGTGTCGCTGGGCTCGACCTCCAGCGTGATGGTCTTGCCAGTGAGGGTCTTCACAAAGATCTGCATGCCTCCCCTCAGACGCAGCACAAGATGGAGGGTGGATTCCTTCTGGATGTTGTAGTCGGAGAGGGTGCGGCCATCTTCCAGCTGCTTGCCGGCAAAGATCAGCCTCTGCTGATCTGGGGGGATGCCTTCCTTATCCTGGATCTTGGCCTTCACGTTCTCGATGGTGTCGCTGGGCTCGACCTCAAGGGTGATGGTCTTGCCAGTGAGGGTTTTCACAAAGATCTGCATATTTTCTACCTTTGGAAAAAAAAAAGTCAGGATTTGGCAAAAAACAAACCGTCAAACGTATAAAATGAATTAATATAAATTATAAGACTCTTCGATGAAACTACCATGCGAACATACGGTATAAAGAAAAAATGACTACGCGACGCTCTGAATCATACGCCGCAGTCGCGGTCCCAGCGCCATTTTGAGATCATACGGACCTCCCCTTTGTTCAGCTAACGTTACCAGTTAATGGAGGCTCCTGGATATGTTGAGTCATTGCTGTACCGAACGCTCCTTTATCACGAAATCGACGAACTACGTACGTCGAAACCGGTAAACAATGATTAAAAAAGTATTGTAGCGTAAATGTTACGTAAACTTGAGGTCGGACTTATCTATTGTCAACGTCTCTTCAATGATCTTTTACGAAGCTGTAGCTAGAGGTTACATTAGTAAAGCACTGGTAACCAAACAACGGCAATATATATTGAACAAACCGGTATACTGTAAAAATAAAACTAATAAGGGTACTTACTTAATAGTAACGCAGTTAGATTTGTTGTTCAATGCTAGCGTCTGATCTCGTACTGCAGTGTAGGAGAAATGTTGAGCAATGGACTGCGGCAGTGTACTTATACACCGGGTCTGCATACGTCATGTGTTGATATCCGTCCGCATTTGAAAGTAGTTCCTACTGTTCCAAAACATTTTATTTTATGGTGACAGCATATTGGTTTCAAACAATCGATTACGATTACTCATAAAAGTAAATACTTAGCAAAAAATAGTGTGAGCGAAAACGATATTGTGACATATCTTGGTGGCGGAGTAATATATCGCAAGCGTACATTCAGGTTTTAGAATTTGCTAGAACGACCATAGCAACAGAAACTATCCCCGAGCCTCTGATTGGTTTGCAGTCTTGTTTGTTTGAACAACGATTGGTTGCTGTGATACAGTAAGTAAGGGTTGATGACTAAAGTGACATTTATGACTGTGGCGTTATAGAACAGATAATTCGGGAATTTTTTTCAAGACCTAAGCGTAAATAGATGCGGAAGGGGGTAATGGTACCGTAGCCATACACATACTTTGGCTTTTCCCATCGTCCCTCTTTCTGAAAAACATTATATCACACGTATCGCGGTTTATTAGGAACTCATCTCACTGCATTCATGTGACACGACAGAGGGACGTGTGCAAACAGGAATCCTGTTGATGGAAACATGCGTGGTGAACGTGCTGCCAGCTGCTGTTAAGTCTCTGCGATAAAGAGATAACAACCTTGAGTTCCGTGGTACAAAAGTCCTCTTAGTAAAGGAGACATTCTGGATTACTGGCGCTTTATTTTTTCGACAACCACAAGTGTTCTCTCAGTACGAGGCAATTAGGCAATTAGGTGTGACTACGTGTCCACATTCATCCGTCTGAAAACATGTTGATGGCAGCAGTTGAGTGACAGTAGTGGAGGCGGGTGTGACCATTTCCTGCTTATCAGAATGTACATACTGTACAGAAAGAATGACGTCACCAGTCCTTTGAGAGAACTGCATGACAGGTGTAAAGAAAGCATCCACAAGCCCATTGTGTAAATGTGGTCTAAGGTTTCTCTCTACATCATGTTTTTAGCCTTATGGGGACATTGTTGTTTTTGTGCCTCAAGCTGAGTAACTAGTTCATAGGGATGTAATGGAAGTTTTCACACCCCTTTCAACCCTTTTTTAGTCTTTGGTTATTTTTGTCGTTAAGTATTCATTCACACGGTATAATGGCAAGAGATTAAGTGTATTGTAAAACTAACTGGCAAGGGCTTGATCTCTTACTCATAAGCATTGCGTTTGAATGCCAGGTATGGGGTCGACGCCCAGATATGTGATATGTTTTTGGTGTCAGGAAGTTCCTTGTTAAACATACTTGGCAGCAAAGATAAGTTGGTTAAAGCAACCAACAGAGGACCCGTGCATAAATGCTCATATTCTAACCAGTGCTTTCAGCTTCTATTACAAAAGAAAGGGAACAAAACTCATATGGGGGTTTGTAGTCTAATGGGATCATGGATATGATGCAGCTGGGAGAGTCCTAACGTATGTATTTGGGTCACAGCATTCTTTTGCCCCAACCCGGCAGCAACCTTGTCATATGACACCCAACCCGTGATGCCCTACGCAACTACTTTCCAACACAAAACTGGGCGTCTGGGTCAACTAGTTCCACCTCTGGGGAATGTGTTTGTGCAAGTGTTCTGTACTTTGCTCCGACCCGTGACTTTGAGTTTTTATGGAATGCCCCAGAGTGTTCTAGTTAAAGCAATCTTTAAAGCAGGGCATAATCCTAGCTGATTACTGTGGACGCCGACTCTAGTATCGCATGAAATAAGTGTCAAGTGGCTCGGGGCTAACAAATTTAATTCAATTTAAAAGGTGGGAACCTTTTAAATTAAATTAACTTTTTTTGAAATGTAAATGAGGCCCTTATCAGTGGTCAACTGGTTTATCAGCAGGGTCATTGGAGCCGTTTTGGGCATCGGGACATTCAGTTCCACGTCAACAGGTTTCACAAGAAACGCGTCACCAGTTTCATAACAATAGACGCCTGATCCTTGTTCACAACGGCTGAAGTAAGTTCTAAAATCCCAGAATACTCAAATCAGTACCTATTCATTCCTTGTGATGGTTTGTTGTTTTCTTTGTACCCACAGGATGGATCTTGTGAAGCACACGGGCGGCTGCCACTGTGGGGCTGTTAGATTTGAAGTCACGAGTTCACCGGACCTCCATGTTTTCCAGTGCAAGTACGGATATTACATTTAAGGACATTAAGTCACCAATACGCGTGTAGCGACAAAAACAAGACACGTATCATTATAAATAGGATTAATTGGTAGTACAGACTTGTATCATGTATCTTTCTCCAGCTGCAGCATTTGCACGAAGAAACAAAACAACCATTTCATCGTTCCAAAGAATCTCTTCACACTCTTACAGGTGGTAAACTCAAGCGCAAACCTTCGATCCAAGTGAATATTTAAGTGAATAATTAGTATTTTCCTTATCTTCAAAGGGGTCTGACAATCTGACCACATACACATTTAACACTCGCATTGCCAAGCACACCTTCTGTAAAACCTGTGGAGTTCAAAGCTTCTACACTCCACGCTCCAACCCCGATGGTTACGGTATGATCGCAAACACAGTCACACCGTTCTCATGTGTTGTACACTGGGCGTGTTTACTCCAAACTAACCGCCCCATTCTACTAGATTTGTGGCACTGTTATTTTCATCATGAAAATGTTGTAAGAGACACCACAGTTCTGTGATGGGAACCCAATATTTTTGAGCCATAAGCTGTGAGTGAAATGTACTGGAGGCAAAGTTTTTTCTCTCTCATGTAAATAATGGAGCTTTGTTTCCTGCTTTTTCTTCTCAGGGGTTGCGCCGCACTGTCTGGATCCCGGTACTGTGCGCAGCGTCACAGTGGAGAACTTTTGTGGTGAGAAATGGGAGGAAAGCATGGCGGCCCATCAGAGCATCAGAGACATGTCCCAAAACCCGGCGGAGAGCAAAACAAAATAACACCAACTTGATGGGAGAATCAATCCTTTTTTATGAATCAACAGAAATGCTTTAGAGTATTTTTAACATATTGTAAAAAAAAAGCCTTAACTCATTCAAGCCCTGGAGTTGTTTCTATACAGTGTAAAGACATTAAAGACGTTTCTGTAGCAATAAACGCAAAATCATTTTTTTTGATTGATTGATTTGGGTCAGCGTTGGTTTACGGAAAGTGCTTCACAAAAGATATTCAGGCTACTTGTACTCCTTGCACAGTAATCAAGGAGCAGAACACCTGCAGTAACGTGGTGAAAACTCAATACATCTTCAGGTTCTTTGGTCCTTGTGGAATAGTTTGGAACGTGTTGACGAACATGTAGCGAGAGAAGGTGATGTAGAGGTAACGGAACCACAGGAGTTGAGACCGGTGACAGAACATGGCGTCCTGAAAAAGGAAAGAGGTGTTGTCCAAAGTTATTTAAATAGTTATTGCTTACATCCTAAAATAACAGCCAATCGTGGTGAAAATCAATCTGCTGCTTAGTATTAATTTATTTATATCTTTGATGTAAAAACATTAGCTTGATGGGACCCTCAACTGCAGCAAAGCATCTCAGATTTATACAATTCTTCAGCACACATACTGCTTAAATCACGTTTAAATCTACTAAAAAAAACCTGGCCGTCGACCTCTTCACGCCAACAAAGCGTCTTTTGGAGGCTTACTTTGGCTCGCCTGTAGCCCTGTGAGCCTATAATGCAGCGCAGGCATGCGGGCTGCAGCCAGCTGAAGGGAAGCTCCAGGAAGGAGATGTACTTCCTGAGGGGGCCAACGGTCACCAGGGAGAGCAAACAGCAGTCTGCGGCAGATAAGAGACCCAGTTAATGTGTTGTAGGTCGACTACAGCAGCGGGCCGTCCTCTCATTCTGTTGGATCTCGTGAGGAGAAGTCATGTCAGTTACATATTTATATTTATATTTATATATATACACATATATATATATGATGTAATACGAGGACACGTGGGCTGGTGCGTGTTTGCTGTGGCCGAAGGCCCCGAGATGACGATATCTCTATTCGATAGCACGGTGCATACATTGACATCTTATGTATGACTAACCGCTCCGGCCTGCTGTGCCTGTTTCTTTTCGTGCTGTCATCTCAAACTTTAATGCGGGTGCGGTCCATAACCCGAGTCTTCTGTAGCCTGTTGTCTTCTCTCTCTCTGTCCAACGTCTACCTTCATGTACCCAGAGAGGACTTTGGCATTTGTTGAAAATGGAAAGCATACAATTTGCATAGATTTTGCCTCAAGAGGAAACGTGTCAGAAGTCAGATGCACTGATTTTAACATCAGTCTGAAATCATTATGTTTTTTGAGGTGAAATATCTAACCGGCCTTATGCTGCCACCAGCAGACCAAAACGTTCAGAGACCCAACACTGATGTAACCCTTTTGAACAGTAGAGGGCGCCGTACATTAACAAAAAACAACTTTCCAGTGTTCTCTAAAGGAGGTGTGGCGCTCCCCATGGGAGTGATCTGTGCAGCTCAATGCTTCAATTTCCATGCATATTCTGGAAAACACTTTTTTACCAGAATTTACTACTTAACTACTTTTACAGATTACTTTTCTGAGAGTCAGTAAAATCCAACTTGTGACTCGTTGATCACAAACATGAGGCTCTCAAAGGTTTTTCGTCATGACACACCTACCATTGGGGACTTGTCCGGAGAAAGCGAGATGGCTGTAAATGGAAAAAATAACATTGTTACCAGCAGAAAATATCAAGGAGGCAAACGTTGAGGAGGTGCTACATCTTACAGGGTCTCCTTTGTTGGCGACCTCTACAAAAGAATTGACCTCAGTGTAATGTTTCTGGTGGCCAATATGTAACGGAGATTAGAGATCTGGTTACGCTGATTATAAAACAAATTGGGTGAGAAGTCAATGACTGTAAAAGCCCAGGAAAAGGCCACGCAGTAAACCGTGCAAATCTCGGTTGGAGTCAAGTCTCCAAACTAATAGTCCTAGACGAAAGAAAACCCCACAACAAGCCGTTGAGGTCGGCAAAACGAACGCGCCTGATGGGAATCATGAGCTGTGATTTCGAGCGCTCATATCTTTTCAATAGATGAGGCCCACGGATGGACGGAGGGCGGTGCGGGCTCAGGGAGGGAAAACCCCGTGACTAACACGGCAGTGCAATCAAGAGGCAACACAGGGACGGCGACGTACACGTCACGCTGCAAAACCAGCGGCCCGATGCAACTTGCTTGGCTGGCCTCCCCAAACCAGATCTGCGCACCCGCTTCGCCACTTCCGGGGCGGGATTTACTGCTGCCCTCTGGGAGCAAAGCCAAGATCCTCTGGGGACTCTGTTTGGATTAAAGCTATGTAACAGGCGGCTTCTAAAAAACATAAATGGTGTGTGTGAAGAAACATTTGGAAAGATGGATGTAGATCATAGTACAAATGTTTTCCTTGATACTTTATTTTACAGATGTGAAGTGGGCTGTTTTTTAGTGTGCATGTGTTAGCCACATAATGTCCCTGAGGAAGCATTTTTCCTGATGCCAAAGCCAGTTGAGTCAGTACCGGAGAGCTTTATGGATGGCCGTGTGATTGGCATGGCTGCTCACGCCGCTCTCATCGAAGGTCAGCACCTGAAACAACAAAATAGCAAACTGTGTGGGTGAAAAGCCAGAAGCTGGTTATCTAAACGGGAATTTAAATAGATGGGGGCAGACCAGTTTTCTTGGGTTAGTGGAATGGTTTACGGGGCCTGAATGTGGAGCTGCTTGGCAGATGACAACCGATATTTAAAAGTCTTTTTTTTAATATCCTGTGTGCATGTTTGCACGCCAGAGGAAGCCAGTGGAAAAAAATCAGGTCAAAGTGAAAAAAAGGAGGGCTTGACTGAGGAATTGGCATTTGTTCTGCTCAGGCGTATTCTAACATAACTATGCCGTTGCAATCAAGCATACGTTTCAGCTCCTAACCGCACATTATAACAAATGAACTCTCTCCTCATACTGGCTGGCTTATACATAGAAAAAGAAAAGGAATGGTACTGGGTCAGGAAAAGGAAACCAGTTATTCTGTTTAAAAGCAGTAAGAGTGTTGTACATCCACATGTTTATCTCCGTGTGCTTCTGTGCTGAATTTGTGCTGAATTTTTTTCTTTATAATGCTGGATTTGTTTTTTAAGACATTTTTCCGTAGCTTACTTTTTGGCGAGAGGCTTTTTTTTGCTGGTCAGCCTAACAGGAAGGGAGGAGACTGTGTGTTTGTTTGTCATCTCTGATAACAAAGACTGCAGCATAGAGGCACCCGGCTGTGTGAAATGATCTTCCCTAAAGAACTGAGGGTTGCCATTTTTTCTTTCTTCTTTGCTTCGCCCAAAGCTTTTCTTCGCATTTGGCTATGCTTGTGCCGTTGTCGAAAATGAGTGGAGGAAAATTCTTTGAATCTAAATGAACCTCCTCCTCGTCGGCAAATATTGCGGAACTGCACCGGGGCAGATAAGACGCTGTGTGTAAACACAGGAGATAAAAACAAACTTTCCGCTGCAGCAGAGGACATGTCCCCTAAAGGGAGGTTGAAAATACGCTCTCAGTTCCACCAAAATAAAAACATGGGCAGGATTATTGTGCAGACTGCAGTGAAACTGCATAAACTGGGAGAGCTGTGGTGCAAATACTTGGATTTTGTTTACTGATTGGCATGAAACAATGTGTTAAATGAGAGAAAAGCAAATACAGTGCGCAGCTGGCATACCATGTTGAAGGAGTGAGCTCTCATGTGGTGCACAATTACAGAGGAGACCAGTGAGACGCTCCATTCTGCTTTGGGATCATCTGGAAGTTTTCTGAAGAGGCAAAAAACAAAGAGACTGGTTATCTAGTATCTAGTATTATCTACCAAGTATTCAGTGTTTCACTGAGAAACAAGAGGGCATTATGTTTGCATTGTAACCTCACTGCAACTGAAAGTTAACTGTACACAACACAAGCATGCAAGGCGTTTCTCAAGCCGAGCTGTCATAAACACATTTCTGCAGAGCAGATTTAACTGCTAAAAAGGCCGCCAGTAGAATGCAAACACAAGGGAGTGCTGGGAAGCACGAGGGAGTTAAAGGGTCGAACGGCCCGTAGCATCGTCTTCAGCTGAAACTACAGCCCGGAGACAAAACAGAACGTACAAACGGAACATCCCACATGGCCAGCTCAAGCTATTGGCCAACTAAACATGCATGACTCTCTTTTTTTAGTACAAACTGCTTATTTTCCCTGCTGTTTTAAGACCGAAAGGCATCGCTTTGTTCGATAGTTCAATGTTCCCCTTGCAGACAAAGCAGCCACGAAAAAGTGCTTTTAAACATGACGAAACTCACATACGAGTTGAGCCAACACAAGGAGTCCTGGGGTTGAAGTGGAGGCCAGTTTTCAATCCAGTTTGTTCTGACTACTTAACAACACTGAACTTTGAGGGGGTCTCGGTTTGACAATAACGAGACGAGAGGTGTTTCTGTACAATCAGGGTAGCACATGACACAGCCTGCATACATGTTATATTTATATGTGTATACTGTACATAAAAATAGAGTGTGTGTGTGTGTGTGGTGGGGGTGGTGGGGGGCATGAAAAGTTGTTCCCCTCCCCTTCGTTGTTAACAATGATTCAGGACAGTCAAACTGGTAGAGGGAAGTGATGGATTAAGCTGCACAGCTATCGGGCCGCCGGTGACGTGAGGGTCAGGCTTTGGCGTGAGGGGCGGAGGTCACAGGGAGGAGGGGTGGGTTAGGGGTTCAGAGATAGTTTAAAACGGTCTTTCATAGACTGAATGGACTGCTGTCACACCAGGATGTGTGTGTGTGTGTGAAGTGTTTTAGAGAAGGATGACACAGGGAATCTCACACAATGTTTAATGCTGCTTGAATTAATCAAACACGTTAATTGTCCTAACAAAACTGAGAACAGGATTTTGGGGAGAATTTGGCAAAAGTCCATGAATATTAAGTTTTTACAGGCTTTGTTTCTTGCTGTTGTATTTATTCATGTTTTTTTGGAGACATTTTGCCTTAGAGTTCAACAGCCGCAGCTAAGCACAGACACAGGGGGAAGGGAAAAAAAGTAAAACGGAAAAACGCACAAGACAGCTGACCATTATCAAGCAGGATGTGTTAACTTCACCATGGCAACAGTGCCAAATGTCCTAAAGTAACCCCCAAACTCCCCCTTCTGTAGCGTTGCATGTGGATGTTTAATTGGCTTACAGGCGTCTGTATGCAATTTGAAACTTTGGCCCCAGTAGGAGTTTCAGAGAGAGAGGGAGTGAGTGTGTGTGTGTTACAGAAAGCTTGTTTAGGTCTGGTCACATGGACCACAAGCCAGAGAAAGTGCCGGACTTTCGTCCACAAACTCAGATTATATGTCCTGCCTGGAAGGCTGAGATGCCAATACAAACCGTCAGCACGCCCACAACGGCACACTGTAATAAGCCAGTTACAACCATAGTTATTACACCAAAGGACACGCATGCGGTTTCACAATGATCCAGAGATCCGTGGTTGTAGTTTTGTTCATTTTTATATTGATAAAATTCATATAAACAATCATGGAGAATAACAACAGTCAACTGTGGAGATAATGCTTTTGGTAATGCATCAGTTATCGGCCACAAGACTCAGTACACGGGAAAGGCAACATTACATTACATGTCATTTAGCTGACGCTTTTATCCAAAGCGACTTACAATAAGTGCATTTAACCAACAGATGACTATGTCGTGGCCAGCGAGTGACAAATGTATTGAGGATAAAAGCACAGCCAGAGGACAGTGAGGGGGGGGGGGTGGTTAGAGAGCCCTGCCGCATGCTTAGAAATAGGCTAGGGCTATTTTTACCACTGATCAATCAATCTATCTAATCTAAACCCTAGTGCAGGGATACAATCTAGTGTCCCTGCAACAAGTGTTTTGAAATATTATCTCAAAAGTGCGTTGTCGTGAAAGAAGTCAGATTACGGTTCAAAAGAAATGAGATGGGGGAAGCTAGAAAGTTGCGTCAGTTCAAACAGACAAATGTAGATTTGTGCAGTGAGCAGCTAGACTCGAGTCCAGGGAGCAGACAGAGGCCAAGCCAGTGCAATTAAAGAGGCAGCAGAGCGTGCTCAGAGTGAGCTTGATCACAAAGGCCCCAACATGCACTGGGGCCCCACATACTGTCCACACAGCTGTCCTATTCAGTGAGCAAGGGAAAATCCCGTTTCAGAGTTGGAATTCATACGATTCACGCATTACTCCGGTTCATTCCGGGCTGCGGTTGTGAGTCCCGTCCAGATGTGTCGTCATTAAGCGCAATCCACACTTCCTTCTCGACTGGTTGTTAAGTTAAGAAAACAAAAAGTACGGCGGTTCTGTCACACTACCCTGAGAAATGACATGATGGTATAGCAGCCACAGCTAAAACTACAATAAAAAGCATATTGACATGAATCTATTCTGGCATTGACTGCCTTATTTTGCTTCTTTCTCATGCAGTACAAAATATAATAGCTTGATTTCACATCTCCCATTAAGACAATGTCAGTCTACACACTGTCTTTGCTGGTAATTGCTGCACATCCTGATAGGTTACCGCCAACTGCAGACAGCTTGGAATAATATGAAATCATTGTACACATACATCATGCATCAGATCATTGACAAAACTGTTTGTTTTGCATGCACTTTTGCTGTGCACAATAAGAAGACCGGTGAGAAAGTCAACACATCGGGTGTGCATCTGCACATACTTGGGCAGAGAAGGTGAAGACCCATGTAAAGGCGCACAAGGAGGAAAAATTGAAATGACCAACATTAGCAGTGCTCAGAGCATTCCCAAAATGTATCCCGCAGTTGGCTTCAGCAGACATGAACAGAAGTAGAAGGAGTAGAAGGCGTAGGAGTGGAGGAGTGGAACAGACGAGGACAGCAATGACAAGAGAGCGAGGAACGGAGCTCGGTTGTGTGAGTGGGGCACTCAGAAGTGCTGATTAGGTTTGTGTGTTTTGGGCAAACAACAGAATACACAGAAAGGGGAAAATGGGCTACACTCCCGTTCAGCAGGTGCAGACCGCACCAAGATCAAAGTTCAGCTAAATTCTGTGTGCACAAGATGATAACAGCGTAAAGTCTGTGTGTGTTTGCAAACACACGCACACACTAACAATGTTCTCGAGGGCAGACAACCTGTGCAGGCTGCCAAATTATTACTGTGAGTTCACGGTTAGTGCCAGAGTTCATACAGCCCTCTTGGTGAGCCAACATGTATAAGAGACTCACATTTAGTCAGCCTGCGGTCTTAGAAACTCAAAACATTTTCAAGAGAAGCAGCAGGCTTAATTCCCCTTTTCAACATCACCTTCTAACACTACAATTTCTGTAACTAGACCGTGCCAGTAGCCAGAGCCAGGAGGCTGAAAGTCCTACAGCTGCATCAACAGCAAGAGGAGCAAGTTCCCGAGGGAATTTGGCCAACAATACTGTTCAAAGTTCTTGCCCCTGGTTCTGCTCACTGCTTTGATTGTGAAATTACATACGTGTGGATATGACATATACATATATATAGATATATACATACGTTGATAGCCGTTTCTGTACAGCATTTATAGCATTACAAGTTTTTGGGAAAATCATTTTTAAAAGTATGGTTTCATTTTTGAACAGAATTTTGCCCGGCACAGGTACACAAGAGAAGTCTTAACTACCTGGCTCAGTAGTTATGGATGAATGAATGAGAGAAGCACTAAATCATTTCATTCAGTGGTGAAGAAGAAAATGTAACAGGCAATTGATTCGAAAATAATAATATTAATCCGCCCCAGTCATCCAAATGCACCCAATTGCCCCTGTGTAGAGATCACCGACACTACAAAACAGTGTCATAGTTCCAGTAAGGAGAAGTCATTTTTTATCACTGAATGGCAAATTAAACCAGATAATTTCAAAGAAATGTTAGACTACGCTCTTTATAGGTGGATACAACCAGATATATACTGTAAACAGATGGAAAGGTGGGTTCTAACAGGATGGGTTCTAATAGGCAGACATGCTGAGACGTGACCTCAGGAAGGGGGGACGCGTGAGCAGGTTTACAACTTTAAAGGCACACAATGGAAATGTAATTTGTTTGTATTTCGTGCAGACGACGGCTTACTTATGGTCCACTATGGTGATTCTGCAGTCTGGTATCCCCAACACGGCACAGCTGTTGAGAAGTTCTTGTCTGCGCTGTGCTCCTTGATTGTAGTAGTTTCCTGTACATATTTGGAAGACAAGTTAGGCTATGGCTACACCGTAATGACAAGAGCATCTAAATGCAATTCTAAATGATGTCTGGGTGAAACATTTCCAATGGCTTTAAAATGACATATGCTTGATTGCTAAAATACGATGCTGTGCAGATGTAATTACATCTACTCATATGTATCCGTGCTTCTATTTAGCTCATAATTTATCATAACATTACATTGCCTATAGCTTCACCCAATAACCCTTGTTGTTTAACATTATTTTAGGCATTTCTTATAAAAGCAAGCTTAGTTGCTTGGGTAACTATGTTACGCACTAAGTGTGCTGCTTTACCCTTCTATTGGTCATCATTTCAATCATCCTTAAACCTGAGACTGATGGAAATGTACAGATTGTGACTCTCAATGTATGTGAGCTCTTCTTTCGATTTCCTTCTAAGTCGATAAGACCTGCATGGTTTTGCAAACAGTTTCCCCAATTAAGGAAAACATGTATGAAACACGTCTGAAAACAATAATGTGCTATCACCTTACCTTCAGATAAACACAGCAAATGAACGTTGGCTTTTAATTCAACCAGTCGTATGATCGTTGGCGCGAAGAACATACATTCATCATCCGGGTGCGCAGTTACGAGCAGAGCGCTGATGTCGTCGCCGTTTATTTCTCTGCTTGTTAAAACGTTAATAGCACGTTTCAACGACTTCACCAACGTTGGACGCTGTCGACAGTAAATGCATTTTATCCAAATCAGATAGGATAAAACTATGGCGACAACGACGTAAACAATCATTATTTTGAACGTTACCGTAAACCGTCCGTGTAAAGACAAAGGACAAACAGGGCAGTGGTTCCAAGTGAAGAAATACAAACACAGTTCGTCTGATATACGTTATGTTATCCCGTATTTAGATATGGCATCAAAAAAAGTATTACGATTAAGTTCATCCTAGCAATAGCTGCCAACTTTTAGGCACCCGGTAGAGTATTTCTGAGTTGAAGTCACTGTCGCTTTCTGAATACTATTCACTATTTTTTTGCGTCTACACAGAACGAATTCATTAATGTGATTAATTTGTATTGCATATTTGAATAAATAGAACCTGCAAAGTTGTCTCAAACGAAATTCATATTTTCAAAAAATTAAAATAACAAACTCAGGGAACGTTATCGTGTTGGAAGGAACCATTTAGCTGTTACACTGTTTTATCCTTCCAGGTGTATAAACTAAACAAACGAGAATGCCTTATATTTCGGAAGATTTTGACATAACAGTCCACTAACTAGCATAAACTAAAAGTTATAGATTCATTGTACATAAATATGCGTTGATGACAACTAGAACGGCTTGGATTCAGGACTATGTATTTTACCCTTCCAGGACATCGACCGACAAATGCGGCGCAGCCTTCAGTCTGCCCAGTCGTCCACAGCTCAGAACCCGCGGATTTACAATCAACAATTGACACATACACCTGCCCGGGAAACATTGATCTCTTATCGGTATACTTCCTTAATGAGGTGAGTGCACACTGCCCGTAAGAAGCAAAGCAACATGTCTAATTGGCACGAAATGTAAGCGCCCCGTTCTGCGATTGAAATTTGCCTTGCAAGATGGCGACGTGGTTGAGAATTCAAAGGTGAAATACAGGCTAGCTAGCTAGCGACAACAACAACACCGTAGACGCTGTCTTTCTACTCTGCAACGTTAAAGAAGCGCAACCATTTAAGCCAATGTTGGTTAGTGTTCGGGTTTTCGGTGCATTTCCGGTCGGGCTCTGTTGTGGAAATAGACCCATCCCCCAAGATAAGCTACCAATCCAATTGCGTTTGTATGACAGTGTGGTATAAAGGAGGAGAATAATAACAACACACAAAAGCAGTATTTGTCACTGCTAGGCCGTGTATGAGGCCAGGTAGTTTGCCACGGCTGCTGGGTTTGCATGGAAATCAGCACAGACCATCGGAAATGATTTCTAAATGATCTCCTCTGCGAACTTCACCGTGAAACGAAAAGCTAACTCGCGTGAGTCTTTTTGTTGTGCTTGAAACTGCATGCGTCGACTTTCAAAATGTTCTTCTATAAATGCAACCAAACGAACACACGAAATGTAATTGGCAACTGTAGGAAAACACCAATGTGCTAGAGTCACAACATAACATTTTATATTCCAAGAAATTCATGCTTCATTTAAAAAGATGGGAGACGAAGAGAGACTGCACACCGTGTGCTAATTAAAGGTCCACTAATTGAGTCCTTTCGTGGATTTCTTTACAAGTTATTACAGATCCATGTGAATTTGGTTTAATTTTGTCAATGAAAGGTTGATTGGTTAATTATCTTTTCGGTGTATCACATTGAACAAACACCCCCAAAATGATGTAGAAGTAAATTGTGGTTAGTAGTTGTGGTTTTTTGAGGCCGCTGTAGTGATGCAAAGTGCTCTTTTTAGTCATTTCTGTTTCTCCTCACATGTTGGTCATTCATGTCTGCCTCTCAAATGAGGACAATTCAGCATTTAGAGGATTTGCTCTCTCTTAGTTTGGCTCAAAACCGAAAGGTGCTGCTGAAAATGAAACTTCATACACACTGAAAAACCAGATCCCCGAACTGTTTAATGTTTGTGTACACAATCATGGCGTAACAGCTCTTGCTGTACTGCATTCATGCTTTTCAAATGTATGATGCAGAGTTGTTATTCTAAAAAGGGTAAAGGCTCTGATTCATGGTTCAGCAAATAAAACGCAGTCATCCACTGTTTTTTTGCTAGTCACTGAGATATTTTAAGTATAACTCTGGATATTGTAAAAAAAAAGAGGATCTCAAATTATGGGACTAACCAAACGATGTGGCCTGCGGATTGAAATAAAATAACAGCTTCCCACTCTGGTTGTGGAGGCAACGGTTGGTGCTTTTCCATCCCTGAAGTCAGCATCGTGATGTCTGGGCATTGTGGCCATGCTGTAAACCGTGCATGCCTAAAATAAAAACGCTTGAGCCAGCAGAACACAGATTGATATGTTTGATCCCCGTGACAAAAAAATCCAGTGACTCATAAACGTGTCGTCTGTGTGATTGGTGTCCATAAAGGGAAAACCTAGCAAAACGTTTAGTGTTTGTTCATTTGAAAAGTACAGTGAAGAATAGCCAACAGGACTTTAAGCAGCTAAAATGTACTAAATAATTTCCTAACATCAATCTGCTTAAATGTAGCTGTAAAATCTATTTGTCAATCTTGAATGAAATTATAATCCGATTACCATGGGATGTTATTCAGACGCCTAATGGAAACTTGAGTGGAAAGCTGAAACCGTGATCTCTGTTCGTGTGATGGGTTGGTATGACTTGTAAGGTTTTTCCTGTTTACCCCGGTTGCATGGCTGAAGTTCATTAAAATTTAAGGAATTTTCTAATGATAGTATGTGTAGCTGAGAAATGGCTCTTACAAAACCCTACCCTTACAAAAGTCCTGTTTTAATTATCTAAGAGATTGATGTAGTTTCTGTGATCAGAATTTACAATTTAACCCGGTCCCAAATAATTTGTTAGCATGTTTCATGTGCAGAAGGACATGCATACCATTTTACCGTACAAAGGTAAAACTTTTTTTTTTTTTGTGTGCAAAAATTGTGTTCTATTAACATACACAACACAAGTAACACAAGTAATTTCAATACATCCGCAAAATCCTACTGGCAACGTTTTTACTAAACCAAGCTGTTCAAACCGAGAACTGTTCTTTTCAACCACGCCTAACATAATTGGGTTCATACAACTGTGAAGTAGATCTGAATGTTTGATGGACTGAGACACCATATTATGATATTTAAGACCACTACAAAGATAAAAAAGACATCTGAATGTTTGATGGACTGAGACACCATATTATGATATTTAAGACCACTACAAAGATAAAAAAGACAATCAATGCAGATAACAAATTCAACCCTCAAATCAAGTCATTTCCAATATCCATTTCCAATAAACAGGACACTGTTTTTTCCACCCAGAGAGATGCTGTTTTGGGGTTTTCCAGAAATCCATTTTTTATTTATCATCCTGTCACTTTTGGTTTAATAGCCTTTTATTTAGATTGCCGCACTGCAGGTAAAGAAAGAGCTAAGAGTGGGATGTTTTAGATATGATTCTAACTTAAGCACAGTGGCAATACGAGGTGATCTCCACAGGACAGTTCCTTCACGCCTCTACTCACCTCCACGGAAACAGAAATATTGGAGAAAAGTGATGCTGGACATCACTGATTTTCTTTGTCAAATAATACCGTCAGTGTTTAAACCTAAGTACGATTTGTGGAGCTCCCTGTGGTAGTACATGCTAACTTGTTAGCATAATGGATGCTTAATAAACTTTTTCCACACTGCTTCTTCGTCTTGATATCTAAAATGTGGCTTACAAAAGTTACATTTTCTGTGTCTTTGTGCAGGTGGTATGTGTCTCCAAACATGGTCTAGCTAAGGTTTCTGAAGAAGAAGCAGCCCGCTTGCACTGAGTCAGGATGTCCAGCAGCTCGGGCTACCCCCCCAGCCAGGGGAGCTTCAGCAGCGAGCAGGGACGCTACCCGCAGCATTCAGTCCAGTACACGTTCTCCGGCTCGCGCCACCAACAGGTACAACTTTCCCACTGGGTCGGGGGTGAATTCAAGGTAATGCGTTCTCATTGTTTCCGTCGGCTCATCCTGACGCAGGATTGGAGCCCGATTCTGTCAGATTTTATAATAACAGTATTTGGACTCCGGCCCACCTATTGGCCTTAGTGTGTTGGCCTCATACTTACAGTCCGCTCACCTTCTGGACAGCTGATTGCAGCTGCACACAGTCGGAGGTGCCGTCTGAATCCACCACAGGCCAGCAGAGACTGTATTTCCATTAGCGTTGACTGGCTGCTAGTGAGACGTTTGCTGATTTTTTATATAATTACCTGCTGTGGAATGATTATTAGGCTTTGTATTTTTATTGATGTTTTTTATTAGTATTTGACCTTGAATAAGACTAATTAAAATTGGATGAAAGACCGTACATTTTTTATAGAACATTTTTGCGGTGTTTACAACTTTTTTAACAAAAAAAAAGTTTGGTGAAAACATATTGTCTCAGTACTGACCAAATATTTGTGGTATTCAGGTCGATCATAATCAAAAGTTTTTTTTAAATCATTGTGAATATCGGATAATGTTTCTGAGCCATTTTGGATGACATCCTTAGAAGATTAATTTGACAGAAAACTGTCTATAGTACGTTTTAAGGCATTAGGACTGTTTAATTAAATCTGGGACAAAATTAGTTGTGAAAGGTTCCCTGTAAAGGCTTGTTCAGGTTTGTTTGGTCCAGCAGGGCTGATGGCGCTTGTGGCGTCTTTATCCAAAGCTTTTTTTGGTTGCAGCGTTGGTGTATTAGGAAGCAGTGTTTTCCCAAGGTTTACAACTTCAGTCACTCTGCTGCTCCCTGCCCTGCTGCTACGAGCGACACGGACGTGTTTGCGACATATTCATGTCAGTGTGTGGGTGGAAAAATACCCCCCCCCCCAAAATTGCACTTTTTCAAGGGGTGCCTAATCAAGTATCTTGACATCGACAGAATAAAATTCAGTTTGCCAAATCAAACCACAGCTGTGCTACTGGCAATTCCATTGTGTTCTGACTGATTAGAAGTTTTAAATAGGGCCGAAGTCCCGCCCCCTTCCTGGCCAGTTGTTGTTTGCAGTTTACGGCTTTTTTTTTTTTCTTTCCTCTTTCCAGCATTTTTTTTTTTCTTAAGTAACACCGGGCATCTCTTCTGGGACTGGTAACAAATAAGCAAACCTCCCTTTTTTTAACCAATGGGGATAACCAGCGTTCATTTAAAAAAAATCTTCAACTAATAGACCTCATCATGACATTGTGTGTCAGAGCGTCATTTACTGGTAGAAACGCCCGTAGAGTTCACTTAGGAACTTTGCTGTACTCAATCTTATAAAAGGCAGAGTGCTTGCAGGAAATGAGTGGGGTGGCGGTGGTGTGCAATAAAGGTCCCCAGCCAAACTTGAACTTGGGACGTTGCAATTAAATGTTGAGTGGCTCGTAGCCCCAGGCCGCCAGGATGCCCCTCAAACAGCTTTTATCAGCGCTCGCAGAAGAATACACAATCTGTGTTGTGCAAGTTGTAAGAAAGAATTTTTGTAGTGTGCATAAAGCAGCCAGTGTAGACCGCTGTATTGATTCAAACTGAAGCGTATCTGTTGCATAAGATGGATGAGTTGCTCAGTTTGGACAGGACTTTGTCTCTCTAGAAGCGTGATGTGGTTACCTCAGCTATGAAGTGCATTGTTGTAGTTTTAACTTGCAAAAACTTGCAGCAACGCGT